TATATTTTAGTATATTATTACGTAAAATAAAAATAAAAATGTCATGAGTTTGAATGATAGGATTGCATTTACTGTTATAATTGTAAGTTAGATAGGTTGACTTGATTGCTTTGCATTAAATTAGTTTAGGTAGGAATGTTTTGGTATTTAATATGAAGTTAGATACTTGTAATATTTATATTATATTAGTTTGTATAAATATTAGTTAGCTTTGGTTGATGAGAACGTAAGTTAGAAAAATTAGAATAGCAGAGAGTTATTTTAGAGGAGAGAAAGAGAAGAAAAGTGAGAAGAGTAGCCTTGGACCGATGAAGGAGAATTTAACCCGACTACGCGCAATCGGCGGATTTGTTTTAAATCCTTAAGGCAAGTTATTATCTACTTTTCCCCTTTGAATCCATAAATTATTTGTTTAATTTATTTCGGCTATTTAGAGGTTAGAAACCATGCTAGGAATTTTAATAAATTAATTTTTAGTTTATTAAAGTAGTGAAATTTTAATTATTTAGGGTGTTAGATATTTGTTTATTAGCCTATGTAATTAAAATGTAGCTCATAAATAATTATTTAAGGCTTTAGGGGCTTTTTAGAATTTTTTGAAATTTTTCGGGAATTTTCTGTAATTTTCGGCGAGTTTCCGGCCACCGACAGTAGGAAAGATGACCAGAGTAATCCGGTGTGATGCGGTGCACTGTAGTTAGTGTGCGCACGGATCAGCGACTGTTAGATGGGTATTTAATCATCAAATCGATTCAGTATAGCGTAGTACACAATCTTATGGTGCGCGCAAATCAAAAGCCGTTAGATTAAAGAATGATCATCAGATCGATCCAGTGTAGCGCGTCCACAGAAGTCTGTTACAACAGACTAATCAGATCACGCCGCGTCAGCAGGAATCATCAACGCGCACGTGGCAGACTCCAGACGCGCGTGGAGGCGCGTGCACGTGTGAGAAGAAGTGGCAGCGCATGTGGGGACTTTGGGAGGCGCGTGAGGGCGCGTATGGGACCTCTACAACTGCAGGAAAAGTCCAGAATACCCCTAGGGACTGTTTTGAAATCTCCATAACCTTAAACTTTCATTTTTGGGCCTATGGTTGGTATTTACGAGTTTAACGGGACGTTACCTGTTAATTATTATTATGTCCGATTAATATTTCTAAATATTAATTGTATCGTTTCCCGTACGAATCGCTATTAAACAGATGTAATTAATTTAATGAGATTGTTAAATATTAATTGTGTTATTATTTTATTGTATTAATCATTAATGTTAAATTAAATGATTACATGATTTTATTCATATAAATTGTCCATTATACATTATGGGATTATTTATATTGTTAATGATATATAAATCATGATTATTATGCTGTGTGCATTTCAGGTAGTAAGTGGATTATTTAATAAATTAAGTCGCATTTATATTATATGAATGTGTTGCCATATAGAACCATGTGAGCTGACTAATAAGTTTAGTCTCATTTATACCTTATGCATTTGTTGCCATAAACAGATGTGTGACTGTCGGGGTATGTGGTTTAATATAATTGGCACGTGTTGCCTAAGTGATATACTCAGTATATTCATTAGTACCTTGAGATGTGTTACCACTGTGTAGGACTTATAGTATGCATTGTCAGTACTATGCAGTGTGTATTAATAGCTGATTTCTCAGGTAGGGAAATGAGACATTTAACCACCTCGTGTGAGTCTAAGTGATCACCGTCTATTCTGGTTGAGGTCTTATTATGCATTGTGTAGTTTCATTAGGGTGTATACAGATATAATATACTTCCGAATAATAATGATTAATTTATTTGATTATCTGATTTGGGTCATAGTAGAGAGAACTTGCTCGTGGGTTTGACCCACCATTGTTGTGTTTCAGGGCCCTGTCAGTACCCGTTTCAAGGTTGAGGCTTAGCAGTGTGGGACCAACATCCGAACTCATCTACTCTTACAGTCTTGTTCAGGGTAGAAGTTTTATGTATTATTTTGATTCCAGTTTTATTTACTTCTGACATTGAACTTTCAAGTTTATATTTAGGGATCATTGACATAGGATTTCCAGGTTGTATAAAGGAGTATTGTATTTAATAAAGGATTGATGGATGTTTTATTATTTAGTTTTCCTTTCTCGTCTACGTTCTTCTATTATTATCATTTTGTATTCCATACTTGTATATTACCAATTATTTTTTATATCTCTCATTTTTTGTGTATAAGCTGATCAACTTATGCGTGGAAAATGTGGGGTATCACATTCATTCTTACAATTATAAGTTGGATTGAATTTGACTTTGCAATTTAGGTGGAGAATTCAACTTAAAAAGCCAAGTTTATATTTGAATTACAAAATCAAATTCAATCCAATTAAAAATTGTAAGAATGAATTATAGTTCGGTTAAGTGCAAAAAAAAAAAACCCTAATATATAGGGTTTATGCAGAAATAGTCCATACTTTTTGAAAATGTGCATTTTAGTTCATAAATTTCAAAAAAGGTGCAAATAAGTCTCTTTAACCACTTTTTGGTCAAAATTGACATAAAATAAATTTAAAAAAATCCTATTTTGCCCTTGAGTTAAGTGCAAAAAAATCCCTTTACTATCAATATAGTGCAAAACAGTCCATATGTGGTATAAAACCCCCTGTACTATCAATTTGGTGCAATTACCCCCCTTTTTGCATTAAAAGACATTAATACCCTCTTTAATATAAATGAAATAATATTAAAAAAATTAGGCAATGTAAAATTACCATTTTAGATAATTTATTTTTATTTTTATTTTTTTCCTTTGTATTTGGTTGATTGATTTGTAGGTCGTGGTAGTGGAGGGTTCAGAGGCGACCGAGGTGATGGAAGGAGAAGAGGAAGGGGCTTCGGAGGAGGAAGAAGCTTAAGAGGCCCCAAAGGCGGCGGTGGCGGCTTTAAAAGTTGTGGTGGCAGTAGAGGTGATGAAGGGAGAGGACGGGGCAGAGGTAATCGTAGTAGAGGTGGTGGAGGGAAAGGAGGAAGAAACCCCGGAAGCCCCAGAGGTGGCGGCGATAGAGGTGATGGAGGGAGAGGAAGGGGCAGAGGTGACCGCAGTGGACGTTGTGATGGAATGAAGGGAAGGATTAAAGTAGTGGTTGAGCCTCATAGCCATCACAGAGGCCCTCATCGCCGCCGGACTGTTCTTGGCCAACCTCACTGACCTCTTCCTCAGAGGCAGCGGAACCACTCCCGTCTGGAACTCATAAGGTTCACCGTCCACCATCTCATTGTTGTAGAATGAGACCTCAACCTTTCACCGTTAACCAAACTCCCACGACAAGCTCTCATCCTTACCGGATGGTAAACACCAATAGATCCAGACCCTTTTCATCAGTTGCCATCATTGATGATACATTAACGGCGTCCTGAGCTCGTCGTCCTTCACCGTCACCAACAACTGGGTTTGTGATATGACTTTGTTTGATGACACACTGAGTTAACTCAACAGATCGGCGCTAAACTTTGGTTATGGGTTGAATTAAATGGCCAGAATAAACATAATGGTGGTGATAGAGTGTAAGAGAAAAGGGTAGAATAGGAAAAAAAAATGGCAAAATAGGGTTTTTGAATTTATTTTATGTCAATTTTGACAAAAAAGTGGTCAGAGGGGCTTATTTGCATATTTTTTGAATTTTTATCGATTGAAATGCACATTTTCAAAATACACAAATCTAATATAGGGATTTTTTTTTTTTTGCACTTAACCCTTTAATTTATATTAAAGAGGGTATTAATGTCTTTTTATACAAACATGGGTTAATTGCACCAAATTGATATTATATGGGGGTTTTATACAACACAGGGACTGTTTTGCATTATATCGATAGTAGAGGGGGATTTTTTGCACTTAACATGAACTTGCCTTTTTAAATTAAAAGGTAAAATGCAAAAAAAAAACCTCCTCAACTATGTCTAAATTTGCAAATAACCCCCTTGAACTATGTTTGCGCATAAAACCCTTTAAACTATCACATTTAGTTGCAAAATGCCCCATTGTCTTACCTATTTTTCATTAAATGATCATAATATAATTTCTTATTGAATTACACTTGATATATATTTTTTGTATTAAAATAAATTATGAAAAAAATTCATACTAATTTGATGAAATATTCTCTATTAAATTTACATAAGTTTGCTTTAATTTTTAAAATTAATTATTAAAATAAAAATCTTAAATAGAAAATTTTGAAACAATTTAAGTAATTTCTTAATTTTCATGAATATATTGCATTAAAAAGAAGATATTTTTTATTTACGTAATTTATTAATTTTTCATGAATATTGTTTGAAAAAGAAGATATATTTTTATAGTATTTTTTTTTTTTTTTTTTAAAGTGAGTATAATAAGTTAATCATTTTAGAAAATGATAGCTACGAATTTGTTTATTTTATTTTTTTCATTTTTATAATCAATTGATACTAATTATAAAATTAAAGTAAATGGTATAATTAATATTTAGATAAGAGAAAATATAATAAAAAATAATTTAATAAGAAATGAAAAATTTAATAACAAAGGGTAAAATAGTCTTTTGTGATGTGTTTGTCTTTATTTGCAACAAATCAATAATTTAAGAGACACTCTTTAGTTTAGGGTTAATTGCAAAAAATCAATAATTCAAGAAGGTTTTTTTTACACTTTACTCTAAATTAAATTCTAGACCTCAATTGCAAAGTCAAATTCAATCCAACTTAAAATTGTAAGAATAAATTATATTTTTGGATAAAAATCCAAATAAAATTGAATTAAGATTTTTCAATATTTTATATATCCAGTTCATCCTCCAACGCATCCGCCCTACAACGATTAACTAAAGCTAAACGTTAACTATATATATATATCTATATTTGTCTTAATTACGCAAAAAAATATATATATATATATACTCCGTATATATATACTATTTCTCTGTCTTTTTAAATATTTATTTGTGCTTTAACATAATATTAGAACTGTTGTCGGCTATAAATTAGTGTAAATAATACATTGTTGAACAAAAGAAAAAAAGAAAAAATAATCAACGAAAAGAAGAAGAGGGAGTAGAGAAAGCGTTCGGAGCCATTTTTGGCGTTGTCTCGAGGATTTCAGGTCTTCGATTTCCGTTTCTCTATTTAGAGGTACACACTATATCTCCTTGTTCATTTAATCTTTACTTCTTCATCTACTACTGTAATCTCAATCTCTCCAGATGTGCGTAGTATTGTTTTGTTTTAAATTCAAGAATCTAATTGATGCAAATCATAATATAATTTTTCTTTTATTTCTCTTGAGAACCCATATTTCTTTCTTAACGATCGCACTTGTCGTTGGGCTTTTTGGGAAGTGGCAGTTTCGGGGAGCTTCTGCATCTTTTGATTCAATCTGACCGTTGTGTATGTAAAAGGAGTCAAATTTGCAGACGGGTCTATCTATATAATCTCTTATTACATTGAGTTAGGTTTTCCATTTTCCATTCTAGGGTTCGACTTCAAAATTTTGGAAGTGCGTGTTTGGTGTTTTTGCAGGCTTAAATTATCATTGAACATTAGTTTGTGTGTCTATGGCCTATAAATACTTGTATTTTATTCTCAATCCATTTTGCTTTCACTGTAGAGTTAAAAATAGTTAGCCATGAATCTTATAAATATCTACTTTCTCTATTATTATGAGATGCTTTCAATAAGTTAGGATTAAAAAAAAAACTATGGGTTGTGGAAATAATTGAGAAATAACGCTTTGATAATTCCAGCATGGTGGCCTGTGTTATTCAAAATAGTTGTCCAGAGGAAGTTGCTCTGATTTTTATTTGCTCAAATAGCCTCCTGATTTATATACCAAGTGGATGGTGGTATGAGTTGCATTCCTCCTGTTTATAAAACCGAGTAAGGTTAATCATTTGAAATCCAGTCCAGAATGGGCTTTTGTGTGACTGTTTCTCTTTAAATCTGAGAAGGATCACCTTAATTCTCAACTGGTCTTATGCTAATTGAGGCTATGGGTGCATACTCTTTTTGGTGTTGAGAATATTTGAGATATTGCTTGATGTCACTGACTTATCATTGTGAATTAGAACAATGCACATGGCACCCTTCTAGGGTTCTCTATTAAATTAATTGTTTTTGTTTTTTATTCGACCTTATTCATTACCTTTCTAGGTTGGTTGATGGAAATTGGAGGCAATTCCCTACCATCTGGGCCAGATGGGGTGAAGAGAAAAGTGTGTTATTTTTATGATCCAGAAGTTGGCAATTACTATTACGGGCAAGGTCACCCAATGAAGCCGCATAGGATTCGGATGACACATGCTCTACTAGCTCACTATGGATTGCTGCAGCATATGAATGTTCTTAAACCTTGTCCTGCTAGAGATAGGGACCTTTGTAGGTTTCATGCTGACGACTATGTTGCCTTCTTGAGGGGTATCACCCCAGAAACACAGCAAGATCAGCTGAGGCAGCTGAAGAGGTTCAACGTTGGTGAAGACTGCCCTGTATTTGACGGTCTCTACTCTTTCTGTCAGACCTATGCAGGGGGTTCTGTTGGTGGTGCTGTGAAGTTAAACCATGGATGTGATATTGCAATAAATTGGGCCGGGGGACTACATCATGCAAAGAAATGTGAGGCTTCTGGTTTCTGCTATGTAAACGATATTGTGCTGGCCATTTTGGAACTTCTCAAAATGCACGAGGTTAGTCAAATTTGTCATTGGTTATTTTTCAAAATGCAATCGTTAGGATTTATGCATAGTAGCAGACGTCTGAGACAGTATTCAATGTTTTAGATTTGCTATTTCTTGTGTTTTATTGGTTTCTAAAAGTAAATTTTCTGACCACAAGCCACTATATATATATACATCTGCATATGAATATTTATAAATTAATACATTTGTATATATGTAATATGTTCATCAGCCCATATGTATATGTGAAGGATCAAATTATACATGGTGTAACAAATTTTGCCCTTGCAGCCCTCAGTTTCTTCCTGTTGGACCCATGTTTTATCAAGCCTTGAATCCGATGTCTCTCCCATGCTTCTCACGTGCCGATCATGAAGTTGACTGGGAGCTGCTCCATCCATACACACTTTATATTAGAGTTTAATTATAAATCCTTGTAAACAGTTTACAGATTAGATAGCTATATTTATATACGATGAAGTTGATATTTGGTATCTACCAAAAAAAAGAAAAAAAAAGAAAGAAAGAAAGAAAAAAAGAAGTTGATATTTATCACATGACATGCATTGTATTATTATTTTTTTATCCTAATGCTAGGTTTGGTAAGACACGGGCTTCACAAGAAGTCATCGGAGTGCTTTAAAAATGAAAATTCTTACACAATATTTAGTTTGACCCTTGTGCACCATTTAGTGGAGTATGCCATTTCCCTCACTTATGTGTCAACTGCACTAAGTGCCAACTGTATATTGGGCAATTGATGGTACCAGTTTAATCCGTTTTGACATCATGGAAGATGTTAAATCCTTGTATATAATCTCCAAGGTTGTTTCTTTATCTTAGTTTAGTATTTTTGATGAATCATAAGTCTTGATATTTGAAGTTGGCATCAATTGTTGAATCCATAATTATCAGTAATTTTTTTTGATAATTATCAGTAATTAATTGTGTTTAATTTGATCATGATGATTATACTCATGATTCTTACTCTCATTACTACAATATTGTTTTGTAACATCTGTCATATGAAAGCTGTAGCTCCTTTTGTTTAGCTAGTTACAAAAATACTTTTATATTTATTTTTTTATTTTTAACTACCGTATTAAGCTCTAAATTGTTTAACTAGCCTTTTTAGAACTTAATTTTGTTAGACTTTTCATATTGCAGCGTGTTTTATATGTGGATATTGACATTCATCATGGTGACGGGGTAGAGGAGGCTTTTTATACTACGGACAGAGTCATGACTGTTTCGTTTCATAAGTTTGGAGATTATTTTCCTGGTACAGGGGATGTACGTGATATTGGGTATGGGAAGGGAAAATATTACTCTCTTAATGTCCCGCTAGATGATGGAATTGATGATGAGAGCTACCAGTCCTTGTTTAAGCCAATAATGGGCAAAGTGATGGAAGTTTTCAGGCCTGGTGCTGTGGTTCTACAGTGTGGTGCAGACTCCCTGTCTGGAGACCGGTTAGGCTGCTTTAATCTCTCAATTAAAGGTCATGCAGAGTGTGTGAAATATATGAGATCTTTTAATGTTCCAATACTGTTGCTGGGTGGAGGTGGCTATACAATACGCAATGTTGCTCGATGCTGGTGCTATGAGGTATTATATACTTTCTTTGTAATTATCACATGTTAAATAATTATGTTCTATGATTGGATCACTGTTTTTGATTTCATTTTGGTTAACCCCAAATGGAAATGTTTAATGTGATCTTTGCGAAGGTCAGTGAAACAGCTAAAATTTTGTACACTTTTATGGGAATGGCAAGAAGGAAAAAGAATGTAGAATTTGCTGATGTACACCCCAAATTTCAAAATGACACGGGCTAACATGTGAGAATTTGTTGGTTAAATTTTTCATGGAAGCTTAGAATGTATATTGAACACACTTTTTTATTTTATTTTATTTTTTTATTGAGTGAATGTTGTGATTATTCTAATATTCTCCTCCTAAATATATACGTTTCATTTTTTTCCTGTTATATTGTAAAGGGAAGAAATTGAAAAATATATACATATGATTCAAAAAAAAAGAAAAAAAGAAAAAAAAAGAAGTAATATTACTTCACATTATAATTTATTTTTTATGTTATTTATAAGTTTTAGAAGTTGAAACTTATTTTATTAGTGTTCTTTATCATTAACGAGATTCATATCGGAAGTTCCATGTGGCATGTCATAATGTTCATTTATTGAGAACTGTGCTAAGTTTGAAAATCCAGTTGGAGATAAATGATTCCATGGTTATTTAATTGTTATTCGACTTGTGTGAGTTATTTGGGTGATTGCATGGGTGTTTTGATTAGGTATGGCAACAGGGTGGGTTTGCCTAAACCCTATTCCGACCAGATTGTCAATTTTCAGCCCCAACCTTGTCCTGAACCCGGGACAGTTTCCCTTCTTACTCCCATCCTCGTTTGAGGAATGGATCTTAGACCCCGTCCCTGCCCCGTCACAACCCACCATCTCTGATTCTCTGCTGAAAATGGAGAGAGAAGATTAGATTTTAAGAGAGATGCCCTAGATGCATATACGTATATAATATCTATATATATAGAGAGATCAGATCAGATTCTAAGAGGGACAACCCTAAATACGTACACGAGAAGTACCTAACATACCCTAAACATGGGTTGCCATGGCCGTATTGTAGAAGCAGTGAAGATTGAAGATTGAAGAGCAGATTCTATATAAGAAGATTACGACGGCCTGTTGATCGTTGGAGATTGCCAGCGGAGTGAGGATCGTGACAGAGTGATGAGAGCAGATTCTTTAGTAGAAGATGACGAGGGTTGCCGGCCTCTTGAATGTTGGAGCTCACCGGCAGAAAAGAGATTTCCACTTTTCGCTTCCAAAGCAGGGAACTCAAAACGTGGTCGGGATTCTGATTTAGGGTAGTAATCCTAGTGGTAAATATATATGGGGTAGTTTTAGTAACTTTTAGAAAGTAAGGGCATAATGTAATAATACTCTATAATTGGGGGTTTGGGGTGGGATTCATAAAAACCCAAACCCAACTCAGGTTTTAGTTTCAACACCTTACCTGCCTTTACAGGAAAAAGGCTTCCCATACCCGTCCCATTAGGGGCGGAACGGGGTGAAAATCAGTAGTGTCGGAAGAAATTGCCATCCCTAGTTTTGATAGCTGTCTTGAGTTGAAACTAGTTCATGGATTGAATGCATTTTGGGCCTTGGTGTTCCTAATTGTGTTTAGATAGCAATATTTGCTCTAACGGTGAAGGCTAGAATTAGATAATTTTAATTATCGTTGTTGCTGTTATCATAATTATGGTGATCACAAACTTGTTTATGTTTTCCATTTTTTTTTTTAATGTGATTTTCCGTTCGAGATTTATTTGGATATCTTCTTTAATTGACAATTATGCTATCATCCCTTGAGCAGACAGGAGTAGCACTTGGGCTTGAAGTTGATGATAAGATGCCGCAACATGAGTATTATGAATATTTTGGTCCGGACTATACTCTTCATGTTGCTCCAAGTAACATGGAAAACAAGAACTCTCGACCGTTATTGGAAGACATAAGGGTTAAGCTTCTTGATAATCTCTCAAAACTTCAACATGCACCGAGTGTGCAGTTCCAGGAACGACCACCTGAAACTGAGCTCCCAGAGGTTTGTTCTGCATTTGGTAATTTATTTACAATGTAGCTCATTATTTTTTTTAAGGCTTTTTGGTGACTAGGTTATATGTTTCTCTTTGAAATAGATATTTAGAAAGTAACAAACAACTTCTATATAATATCGTCACCATGTTCTAGCCTTTTTCTTGTTTTGTCTTAATTGGTTGATTTGTTCAAATTAACTTTGTTTGTCATATATATATGCTCCAGAATTAGAAATATTTGTAATTCTAAATTAAGACAATTTTATGTTAGACACTAGTTGATTGTGCCAGCCTCTCGGGTTAATGAGGGAAGGAAAAGAAATTATGAGGGGAGGATTCTTTCTGAAATCTGTAGATAATGTGCATGGAGTGCTTAAATGTGGTGGTGGTATTCGTTGCTTTGTTAGATAAGAACATCCTGTTTGGAAGCCCAAAAATTACAAACTTCGTGGCCCAGACCACTTAAGAAGACTTTTGGTCTAAAAGGAAGTGACCATGGCAGTAAGTCTGAAGCTAAGACCCTGTTTCTTTTTAGGATAATATACAACTGGTTTAGTTTTATTTATTTTTTGTTATGATGAGGATTAGGATACCTGTACACAACTGAACAAAGCTTTGACCAACATTTGTCAAATGGATCTTGTTTTTCCCTTTTGCTTTATATAGGATTATAGTTTTAGTAACAAACTGCATGTCTTTCCTACCTATCTCGACCCTTGCTAGTTTTGATCTATACTTTCTTCTAGTGTTATCCTCTACGTGTGGACCATGTCACTCTTTCTAATCATTGCAGTTATTGGTCTTTGTTGTATATTGTCGAAGCATTTTTGTTGGTTTTCTTTATTTTATTTCCTGAGAAATCCACAATTAATATGCTTGATGCCAAGTGAGAGTAAACTGTTGCCCAAGGTTCTTATACGTCAAAGACAATGCCTAAAATAGATTTAAAGGGGGGTAAATAGATTGTTTAATTTTTTAACTAAAAATAACCAAAATTTTAAATCTAGCAATTATAGTTCAGATGCAACAATATAAAATTTTAAATTTATAGAGATCAAAAATAAAATAATGTAGCAATCAAACATAAACACATGATTTTACGTGAATTCCCCCACTAGAAGAAATCACGTGATCTAGTTCAGGCCGATCAAACTCCACTATCAAAAGAAAGGTAATGCAATCTTGTATTAGATTTAAACCCCATATAATTACCCAGTTACCTTTGATCCAGATTGACGCCTGATGTTTTCTTCGAACTATGCTGCTGCCAGTTAATGAGTTCTCATGCAATCTGCTCTTCAACTCGCGTTTTTCTCTATTGTAATGTCTGATCCTCTTTGTGTGATTTGGTGTTGATGACGAGTTGGCTCTACAAGTTGGTGATCAACACTCTGAATATTAACTCACCATCTAATGTAAGATGATAGATGATAAAAAGAAAAATATGTAGTCAACGTGCATAATGCTCTTTATAAAAATTCTTTAGATGTGCAGTTGAGGAGATACTACCAGAGCTGAGCTCTTGGTGATAAGAGATAAACCCCCACCCCCTCCAAAAAAACCAAAAAAAAAAAAAAGATAAAAAATTCAGGAGCAATACAAGTCCTTACATTATAGCCTATTAGAAATGATTAGGAACTGTTTATCCTAATAAATACGTTACAACTATATTGGTTTTACATTTTCTCGGAGCTGACATGACTGTCAATTTTTTTGAGACCGACACAGATGGAGTTCCTCTGCTCACAAACACACAGACACATACCCATTAAGCTGATATATATATATATATATATATATATATATATATATATATATATATATATATATATCATGCTTGATGCTCCCAAACACGCACAGGTGCATACCCATTAAACTAAAAATAAAAAATAAATAAAAAGTTGTGGTCTCACAAACACACACAATACCCATTAAATTGGGAAAAGGAAAATTGTGGTAATCTGATGAAAAGACGTGTAAGGACGTGGTTAGCAATCACCAGAGCAGCACAGAACAATAGGAAATATAATCATTAATAAAAAACTTGAATATTACAGTGTAACTTTGCAGCAGCCATACATAAAGAAGTGACTTCTCTTAAATGTTCTGACATTCAGGCAGATGAAGATCAAGATGATGAAGATGAAAGATGGGATCCTGAATCTGACATGGATGTTGATGACAACTGGTAAATTTTTCGACGCAATATCACTTTTATATTTTGGATTTTTATGGCTTCTAATGCATGTTATTTATTTTGTCAGCAAGCCTTTGCCAGGCAGAGTGAAGAGGGAATTTCCTGAACCGGAGCATAATGACGCGGTATGTTCCTTCCTTTTTTAAGTTCTTAGCATCTAGAAAACCAGTTCATCACATTGAATATGAGATAGAGCATGCTTGTTACATGTTTTGTTGCCAAATGCCAATGGCAAACACTTAATACGTGCCAATTATTATATGCAATCTTTTGTGCTTTTTCTACAATAAGAGTGGATGTAAGTAATTAGGGGCCAATGGTAATTCTGACAGTTGATCTAACCGATAAGCATGAGGAAGTGGCTCCGAGTTTAAGAGCAGCCACTTGTGCAAAATGTTATCTAATGTCTATCTCTAGTGTTCAGGCAAGACCAATACTAGGTAATGGTCTATTATTATACCCTTTTTTTTTTCTTTCTTCCCCGCTATGTCACTGTGATTGTGATACAGTGCTTATAACCCGTCATCTCTTGGTACAACGAGGCGACCTCTATAGTTGGTAGTTCGTAAAAAGGAGAGCTAATGTGGTCATTTTTGGATATGGACCAGAAGTTCTTTTTCATTCGCGGCCTATGAAATGGTATGGTTGTTGTATTGGTTCCCTTTTGACATGATAGTATATGTGTCTACACACCTTGTTCAAAGAGAGTGCACTTTTAATTTCAATAAGGTGTGTTATGTGCCTTGTTTTCAGTTGATTATTATTCATGTATAAAAGCAGGTGCGGAGCTAGAAATTTATGTTTTGGGGGAACTAATAAGATGAAAATAAAATTTTAAAATCATAAATAAACTATATCATTCCTTACATAAAAGTCTCTTATATATTTTCTAATATAAATTAACTAAGATAAGATTATTTTTAAAAATAAATTATTTCATAGCCCATGCGAACAAAATCTAATTTGGCATATATGTTATATATATATATATAAGTTGGACAAAAAAAAAAAAAAAATTATATAAAGGTCTATAGACATGGTTTGTATTCCTTTTTTTCTATAAATGTAAATCCATAGACATGGCTTGTATTCCTTTTTTTTCTATAAATGTAAATGTCCAAAAGTAAAGTTTAAAGGATTCTAAATTGAGATTATTTATAAATTTTGTGGGGGTCACATCATATCGTCATCATAATCCTTGCCTTATCCCATATAGATGGGTCCCCATGAATTATCTTTTTCCATTCTTTCCTATTGTATACCATGTCTTCTCTTAGATGTAATTTTTTAAAAACGTTTTTAATTACTTCCTCCCATGTAAGTTTCCGTTTGTTAAAATTTTTGTATATTCTTTTGGTAAGTAAATCTTTTTAATATTTCATAAGTGCTTTCCTTATATTACTTCCACACAAACAAGAGAGTCCTGCCTATGGCCTGGGAGACTATTATCTTCTACATCCAGGGCTCACATTGAAGCCATAAACATTTGTTCGTGTGTGTAGATAGAAGTTGAGTTCCTGGTTTATGGATCTTCTTGATTATGCAAATACCTGAGCTTGCCATATTGTTACTAGTAATGTAATGTTTCGTGTAATCACCTGTTTGAGAAACTTGAGAAGAAAAGGGAAAAGTAACTTCATTTTTTCATTTGACGTGGTAAATCCTGACGATCAAAATTCAACCTTTCAGATCTAATGTGCTGGGCTTTCTATTTTTTATTTTATTTTATTTAATGCAATAACAACCTATGCCCTTGCTGTATCTTCAGGAGGACCTAAAAGTACCAGAGCGTGCAAGAGAAACAGATGCACCACCAGCTGAGACTGCAACTTTAAAGGTGAAGATTTGGCACAACCTTTTAATAGCAAGTATTTCGTAACCCTATTTTATTTATGTGCTTGGATGTCTTTCTCAGGTTTCAAATCCAGATTCAATGTCAATGGATGAACCAGAGATTAAAGTGGAACAAGAAAACTCAAACAAGCCACCTGATCAGCCTGCTGAGATGAGTTCATGAGTAAGGTTGCACACCCCCTAAAAATAACTATGATATACATTGCTTTGTAATAACTGTAGTTTTCATACCCCATTAAAAATTCTTGTATTTGGCAATTTTCATTCTCATTTGGAAACTCACTTCCTTCCCCTCTCTCTCTCTCTCTCTCTCATACACACAGACACAGATGTTCCTTTTGTAGGCTCTGTTTGGAACTTAAGCGTCAATTTCTGTATCAGAGAAGTTTGAAGAACATAGATTATATTCCGTCCATCTTAGATTTCTTTCCTTGTGTGTGTGTGTGTGTGTGTGTGTGTGTGTGTGTTGTGATGGTGGGGTGTGTTAAGTTAGAAATCCCATTTGTTGTTACTATGTGTTATGCCCCTCTTCAGCAATTAGAAAATTTACTAGGTCTAGTTTTCCCCACGCACGGAAGCCTGAGAGTCACTAGACATTTCAGTTACTTCAAAGTACCGAATTTTCAATAAGATTGAAATAGTATTGTAAAAGAACAATTATCAAATACCATCAGTCTAGCTTATTAAAATACAATGAAACATTCAATGAACCCACCAATTGATTGCTGAGAAGCTAAAGATGACTTGAAGTTTTTGAATTTTATGACAGGTAAGCTATTACCTTGTGTGAGATTCAAAGATTGTTTCTTTTTCCTATGATTTATTGACAAATACTGAGGAAAAGTGTACTCATATGCATGTATTGCAAGTTTTAGTATCAAAGCCATTGCATGAACCTGGCACAAAGGGATAAGAGACTCCCATTACTTCCAGGTTACATGGAATATGTTGTACAAGGATATGCGGAATATGTTCCTGAAAACTAGGTAGTGGTTTTAACGGAAGATGAGCTGATATGGAATTTTTAAAATCATCCCATCAATCGGGTACCAGGAATAGAAAAAGAAAATGCATTGTTGAGGATCCTGATTTATTTTGAAGATAATCCGCAACAATGTATTTGGTATTAACTCGAAGGACAATACTTAGGTCCTCACTGGTGAAGATTTATAACATATTTATCGCTGATGTGGACGAATAATAAATTTAACATGTGATCTTTAATTAGTAAATAAAAAATGTTGGGTAGATATTCATTTGTCAAATCAGAAATAGTGATTTGATTACCGGTTATAATTTGGTAATTAAAATAGGACGTGTCAATTTATTATTGGTTCACATCAGCCGTTAGTATGTTGTAGATCTTTACTAGTGAGAATTTAAGTATTGTCCTCTCGGTGCATCAATAAAGCTATGCCATAGATATCATGAGTTGAAAATGTGAAAGTGCCAGAGTCACATTGGGGTGGTTCTTGAAATTAAGAAATAGCATGGAACATTCTTTGTTGGCTTTCTTGGTTATGTGTCACCGTCATGTAAAGGACTTACGGTGAATCGTCATTATCATCGTCAACAAGATAAAGCATAATTAAAGGATCGTATAAGCAACGGTTCCAACGGATGTAATGATGGAAAGAGATAATAATGCAATACATTTTCCAAATTCCACATTTGGATTTGTTAAATATAATAATACTTTAAGCCAAAAAGAGTTTTGGACTCACGTGGATGATTCACTTGACTTTTTCTTTTTGCCCTTTTTCTCCCTTTCGGTTTGAAGGAAGAATATATCTTTCGCCTTTGCGCAACAAATTGTGTATCAACTGTCTTTTTAACCCTTGAGATGAGTGGAATGAATTTAATTAGGTTAACTAGAATCTAAGTTTCGATTAAGTTTAGAATACGAACTTCAAATCGGGTTTGGATTTAAATTAAACTTAATTTCGATTAAAGTTGGTGAGATTAAATAAAATTTTATTCCAACTTTATATATATTTATGACCTCTTTGGGTAAGTAAGCAATACAAATAGACGCATTACCTCCAACGGCGTTGTCTCATGTGAAAAATTGGCTCTCCTCACGTGGAGTAGCTCATCCATATTTTGGAAAGCATAGGTCATATACCACTTGTGTGAATTACACCGTGGTAATATTTATAATTTTTTTTTTTATAAATTCTAGATTATCCATGTAAGGGCAAAGATCACTCCATATTAAGTGGGGTCCACTCTTACTCCATTGTTTGGGCGGGGTGATTTTTTCCAGGTCCATAAAATGCACTTGCATTTTTTACTTACTAACCAATTAAAATTTTATTTTATTTTTGTTGCAATCATTTTATTTTTTCATATTCCAAAACTGAAAACTTGTTATGTTTTGATTCTTATGGAGGATGAATAAAAATTATAAAACCCGAACCCAAGTTTGATCCAAGTTGGAGTCACATAGAATTAAATTTTAATTCTAAGTTTTATTAAATATTTATAGATATAATATAGAATTAATTATAAAATAAAATAGAATTTCTGATCTCTGTACTATAGTCAGTCATGAGGTACGTACGTTAATGAGAGAGAGAGAGAGAGAGCGCTCAGCGCCTTCGACGGAAGGAATGGGTGCTAATAATTGCCTCCATCCCGCTTCCCGTTATACGCGCTCTCTAGCTGGCTTGACTTCCCTTACCACACGTTCTGGAGTTCACACTTTCAACTTCTTCTTCAGGGCTATATAGTTTCTATTTTATATTTTATTCTTCTTTTTATTTTTTTTTATTAATTTAGTTTCTATATGTTTATTTTATTTGATGGTTCCATATTCGCCGCCAGCTATATCGGCTCAGCTTCTCTTCACTACCACATTCAATCACATTTGTCATTTCTGTACACTGTCCAAATATATACATACATACATATATATATATACACACATGCATGCACCCTTCTAGTTAATAAACTATTTAGAAACAACTTTTGGGTTGCATCACCCATTCAACAGTTTATTTTGAAATGAAAAAGTTAGGGCAGGTTTGGTTTGTAATTCCGAGAATTAGAAAATTATACAAAATAATATTCTTTAACGTAATTTTCTAAAAAGTTTATTGTAAAAAGGTTTATTTTTAGATAACAATATTTTATTATTTTCTCAAAATTTTTTAAAAACTATTTTTAACAGATACATTAACAATGAGTAAATTTACATCTTCATTCATTGAATCCACTAAACCCTCGTCATGAAGTCATGAACCTAATCTAATTAACATATTCACAAATGAAAAATATCACAAGTGTCCTTTTAATGTTTTGCACCACATCAACCACAATGCGTTTTTGCATTTCATTTTGGTTATTGCTTCTAGTGGAGTCAAAAAAATTGGAGTCTACACTTACTCTCTAAGCCTAAGGAAGCTATAGCTAGACTTGTTTGATCAAACTTGCGTTTGAATTCAAACTTAATTATTGTTAAAGTTGGACTCGATCTTCAATTCATAATCAAAGATTGGTTAAAAAGAAAGTGACAAGTTCTAACGTACAGCGACCAAATATTTATTATAGGCTAACGAGTTGAATTGGTGGTTATTTAAATTTGACTCATTTGATATTCAAATTTGAAATACTAATTAAATTTGACTCATTTGATATTCAAATTTAATATATTTGACTCATTTGATATTCAAATTTAATATAAATTCTTGGGTCTCTTTGGGACTCAATTTTTTTTAAGGGGACAAACGTTTAATATACTGTTCCTTTTAAAATTACAAAATTATCTATTTAAATTATTGTGAATCGTAAGTAATAAAAAGTTAAAAGAACAAAAATTTTGGGATATCAAAAAATAAAAAGAAGATAAAAAAAATTTAAGATAAAAAGAGTAATATTACTTCCGTTCCACTTTAATTGTCGTTTTTAAAAATGTGACTCACAAATGGTTTCCAAATGCGACAATTAAAGTGGGACAAAGGAATATTTAACTAACAGTAATCTAAGTTGATTGTTAACTTGGCTCTAGTGGGCTTCCACTGTGAAGTGTAAAGTTACATTCTTACCCACGATCCCCCAATTTTTTTTTTGTTTGGGGGTCCATTTTAACAATGTTACCCTAATCATAGGTAGTAGCCCTAACCCCTTAAGCTGGCTCGGCTAGCCAAATCAGAAGCCCCGGAGCTAAGCCAAGTACCTTTCCGCTGGACTACCTTCTTTAATTCTTTATTATCTCTTTTTGTTTAATCACAATTGACTTCTTCTGTACTTTATTTATTTATATATCTTTTCTTAGTTGGATATTTAAGTCTATTTAATATTTAATATATACATACATATTATACGAACGTTCATAACATGCAATTTTAAGGTATTCCATTCCCTATATATACGTATCAGTTTTCATATTGCCCTTTATAGAACCACAAAGAAAGCAAAGAGCTGCAAAGAGAAGCAACACCAACATATATATATATATATAGAGAGAGAGAGAGAGAGATACGTATATAGATATAGAGAGAGAGAAAATGGGGCTAATGAGGAAGCTTGTGAGCTGCGGGAGGAGGAGCTTTCCATCGGAGTCGGATACAGAAGTCGTCCCGGAAGGTCGCATTCGCGTTTACGTGGGCAAAGACACAGAAATTCCCTGCAAATTCGAGATGGAAGCGAATTACCTGAACCATCCTCTCTTCGAAAAGCTACTCCAATTATCGGAGGAAGAGTTCGGCTATTCTTACGACGGAGCTCTGAGAATCGCGTGCGAGATCGATCTGTTTCAGTACCTTCTTCATCTCCTCAACAACCGAAATCCCTCCGCCCATTACATGGAGCTACACGATCTCATTTCCAAGTTCTACACAACTACTGCCACTCATTCCGGTCATTCCCCTACACAAATGCGTGCTCAATAGTACTGCAGCATTCATTAATTTTCTCGCTCATCAAGTTTTGTTTCTCTCTCTAGAAATTCTTGGTGTTCCTTCAATACACAGTTTTCTTTTGGGGTCTGGTAGATAAAGATTCTTTCTCCTGTATGTTCTGAAATATTAGGGATACGCAGATCATGACAGTTGGTAAAGATGAGATGGCAAGGAGATGTATAATTGTATTTAATCATTATACTCTGTTTCATTTTATTTATTTATTATTATTTACAAAGAGTAATGATAATTGTTTTTTCTTATCAACATGTATAATTAATTGTATTTAATCATTATGCTCTGTTTCATTTTTTTTACAAAGAGTGATGATAATTGTTTTTTCTTATCAACGTGGTATACATAAGCCTATTATACATACATACATATATATATATATATATTTATATATTTTTATATGTCTTATATCTATCGTTCAAGTCAAAGATGAAATTAGTTAGAGATTTTAGGTAAATCATTGTTAACATAAACGCTTCAAATTGAAGTTTGGTTCTAATGTTTATTTAGAGAAATATGTCATATATTGGATTTACTTGAATACAAATACCTTGTTTTAATTTAATTCCAAGGGGTTGTTGGCTTAGTGGAAAAGACTTAGGTCCTAAAGTCTCATTAAGTTTTAGGTCTCAAATTTGATTCTCTTTAGGTGCGAGCAATTTTTTGATGCCATGATCGTGGACATAGTCCAAGTTTTACCCAATCTGTGTGGAGGGTCGCCTTGCACAGGTCCCGTAAATTCGTCGGGGCAAAGCTCCAGACTCCCCGATTAAAAAAAAAAAAAAAAACCTTGTTTTTTATATAATCCTAACCCAAAGTTTCTTAAAGCTTAATAAATTAAATAAATTTTTATATTATCCAATCCATTTCATTATAAAAATTCTACTTAAAATCTTCAGTTACACTATTAGATCCGAATAACTATGACTATTTAACTGAATAGCATTGCTTTACGTTAACAAAGTTTAACTCTTCTGTAATGTTCAAATATAGATCAAATAACTTTTAAAAAGTGGGAAGGCTTGGAGAGATGAACTAATGGAATAGAGAGAATTCATCAGTTGGTTGAGATTGGGATTCTAATCACACTAAATTCTTCCATATATTTTGCAAAAACAGAGACATATGCAGAAATCACATTATGAGGATTTTGATTGATGGTATAGATTTGAGCAAAAATGAAAACATTAAAAAGGCCATGGTGCATTTTTTGGGCAGACTTTGTTCTAGGTTATCACATTCAGTTCCCTTCAATTCTATTTAAATTTGTGCATAACATAGTAATGCTTTTAGTATGATCTATTACTAAGGGGTCATTTGGAGTTGTTTCTTGTTAAAGGTAAAAACGGCAACATTATCTCCAGATCACTTGGTCCGAGTGCTTCAAGAAATATCAGATCTAAAGTTCAACTCCTCTTGGATGCAAATAATTTCTTAAAATGAGGTGCATTATGTTTTCCTAACCACATTCCTAAACATGCTTTCATTGCACTGGTTTGTTCTCACTACTATCCTCTTGAATTGAAAACGACCCACATGAGATTAATCTCATGATAGCTTTTCCAGTCCTGAATACTCCAGTTGCCTTTGGACTACCGAAAACAAATAAGAAATTGTGTCAGAACTCATAAGGGTCCATATATAATTGCAATAAGAATCTCTTGGTCATAATACGAGGAGCCGCAAAGGCCATGCACCATTCTGAAGTATTTTAAACTGCCCTAATCATCATTTGTTTGTTTGCCTCACTGATACTAACGCCATCGTTTCAGTAACGAAAAATTTAACCAACTACTCTTCATTAGGAGACTCAGGACCTTACGACCTGGGAGAGAGAGAGAGAGAGAAAAAAAAAAGTAACAAGGAATAATAAACTTGCTCAAAAAAGAGTAATAATGGTAAAAACAATGATAACTCAACTATAAAATTGAACTACAAATAGATTTTACATCTTCAGTATCCCATCATGGCTTCATTATCTGATCTCTTTGCACACCCGAAGTCAAAACACAAAAAGGAGAAAAAAAAAAAAAGAAAAAAGAAAAAGAAAGAGATAAATAATCATGAAATAAACAAGAATAAATTAAGAAAAGAACTATTGGATGAGACTGATCGCGATTTCTTAACTTGAAATGATGTGAGGGTGAGCAGACGGGCACCAGGTCTTGCTTTGACATAATAAATGAGGCAAAACTACAAAATATGACAGTTGCAAAAATGCATGTTACCAGCCAAAGCAACTGTCGTGTTACCCTTTAGACTCACCAAGTTCAACATCTTTCACCGGAGTGTTTTCCACTCCCTCCTTCAATAACCTAATTTCCTCTTCTGTCAAACTGGTTTTCGCGTGGTGGGTGATCTTAGCATTGGCTTGCTTTTCGATCTCCACAGCCCAACTATAAATTACCATACCAACAACCGCTACGGTCATCCCCATAATGTTCTTAAAAGTCAGCGCTGAATCAAATAGCATCCACCCCAAGGTGAGGACGCAAACTGTTTTCATGTGCCCTAATACCTGGAAGGAAACTGCTGAGAAACGCCCAATGCAGAGGTATTGGCTCACATTGCAGAAAACTGCTAGGGAGCATGAAAGGAGTATGAAGAACTGCACATATTACCAACACTCAGTTAGATATATTCAATTTATAATAATTTTCCCACACAAAGATTAATTCATGGATGCACAGATGTTATGTAGCCTATGGAGTAAAATATTGGATGAGTAAAGTACTTACAATAGCACCAGAAGACAAATTGTAGTTCGCTATAAATTTTCCACTAAGAAAGTAGTCGATAAAAGGACCCAGCAGTAGGAGAGAGATGGCTTGAATAGGAGCTGTCTTACTCAATAATTCAAAAGATCCAATTGAGTACTTCTTCTGTAAAGAACCTATCGACTGTATCAAAAAGGAAATTTCCCAATCATGATTCTAAATCATCAAGTTAATACATGTTGATTAGGGGCATGACTAAAACGTTCAGTAAATGCAAGTCATGGGCCTAACAAGAAATGGTTTCAGAAGAGAATGGATTTCCATATGATTCCACACCTCATGGATACAAGGTTCCCTACAATTTTTTTCAAATCTATAGACAACTGTAACAGTTCAATAAATGCACATGTATATAAGATCAGACAGATACAGATTAACCACACTACTAATTACCAGAACATGGCTGACCCCATTCATATGGGATTACGGCAAGGATGATGATGATGATGACCAATTATCAGAACTACTAAGCTGATGGACTTGTTAGTCTTGAAGAAACTATCAAACAATGCTTTGAAAAGTGAAGAAGCAATCCTCCAACAAAGGGTTATTGTCGCTGTTATTGAGTGATAATTCACAATAACGTACACTTAGTATGGTAGTGAGGGAGTATTTCTTTTAATTTTCCAATGTGCTTAAGGAATCTTCAGATCTGATATCCTCCCCGACTTTTATCCGAGCTTGAGCTTCGTCCCAACCAAACCGATCCAAGCCCAACAGTTCATTAATTGTCTCTACTCAGTTCATTTGTAGTCTTTTACACCAATTATTATATTCTTATTTATTAAATAACACATTCTTAAATAAAATATAGAACACTGTCAATTTTGGGCTACCCAACCGATTGAACCCCCAACCATAGCCCACTAGATTTTCCAGCTTGGTGCATTGCCCAGTTTATAAAATATTGCAGTCAATATAACAAGTGAAAATAAAGAGAGAAATTGCACAAGCACTCACAATTTGTTGCAATGACGTAGATAATACCGCTACACAGGCACATATAAAACCTTTGGCATTAACTTTGACATCGGTTACAGTGCACACACCCACACCTATAACCACAACCACAACAGACACTTTAACTTCTTTCGAGTAGTGCTTATTATGAAGGATCCATTCCAGTACGCAAACCACTGGAATCATGCTCAGTTTCGAGATCTACAATGAAAACAAAATGATATCATTAGCTGATTACGGAAAAAGAAATATTATAACTTACAAAGAAGAGGAACAAGAAAATAAAGGAAAAAGATTAAAACTTAAACAAGCATGTAGCCCCTTGGGGAATAAATTACTTAACGAAGAAAAAAAAAAATGTTGTTCATACTGAACATCCAGCTGTTAACACACTCCTATTCAACTTTTTGGAACAGACTTTTCTAATGTGCGGAGAAAGGACAAATTGTATGTGCATCTTGCGTATCTCAAGAATTTGATGAAAAATTTGTGCCCAAGATGTCCCTACTCATTGCACCTCTAGTAAACACGTGTTTTCAAATGAACACGAAACAATTGACCAAAGAGCATGCCAGTTTTCTTATTAGAAAATAGTGGGATATGTCCAACAAATCCGTAACCACCTCAATCAAATCTGGAAATAACCAGAGCAATTTCCAAAGAGAACCAAACAAAGTGTTACTAGTTTATTAATTATTCAACCTTTATTAATAATGCCATCACAGCACAGATGCTCATACCAACTTTAAAAGTTCATTTTATTACAGGGGTTGGAAGTTCATTCTTTTGCTACCAACAGCCACTCCATTGACATTGCTAAATGAAATAATCAAAGGAAACTTTTAAGGGGTTAAGCATAGTAGAACATTGTTGAGTTCAAACTTCTTAAAATTTCCTCCATAAATAAATATATTTTTTTTTAAAAAAAACCTCCATAACACATATCCTCGAATTGACATCTTCTTTCAGTATCTCAAAATATTTCAAGGCATCAAATCTGAATAAAACTCGGCCTGAGTGACCACAGTGGTGGACCCACAAAAAAGGGAAATTAGAAGTTGAAGAAAAAAAAAAGCTCTGTCTTCTATCTGTACTACAAGTGAAAAAGAACTAGCCTGTGAGCACTAATATACCAAACGGATGTGGAAGAAAGGTTGCTCGGTTCAGTTTTTTAAGATCAAATTTCTGTTTTCAGAAAATTAAAAAAATAAATAAATAAAAGGAAAATAGTGAGAAATTTTATTTAGTTGCCTTCCCCAACCCACCCTCCATAAAAACCGAGTGTTACAGAAAAGGCCAAATTTTAGAGAAGTGTCTTGGTCTTTTGTAGTTATTTGAAAACAAATTTTTTTTTTTTTTTTCAAAGTTCTTCAAAACTGATTCCAGAGCATTGAACAAAATAATTTGGTGCCCATATTTAACTCCAAACTAAAGGGGATAGAAAGGGACTACAGTTTATTAAGGTTTGGTAGCATAGGGTGCATCACACGTTACCCTATGCTACCAAAATTAAATAGGTTGAATTTAATTTTGGTAGCATAGGGTTGAATTGAACAAGTATATAGAGATTTACCCTATGCTACCAAAATTAAAAAACTCAATCCTATTCTTTGAATTGAACAAGTATATAGAGATTTATAGGTTGTTAGACACTTCGACCTTTTTTTTTTCTCCTATTTGAAGCTCACACACCCACTTTGCACCCATCGACCTTCTACTTTAGAAAGTGAGGATGTACCATTAGGCTACAACATTGTTAGATATTTCCTAAAATTAGAAATGAGATTCCAAAAATAAACTTAAAAACATCTCAACTGCTAATGACTTTTTAGCTTAACAAAGCACGAGAAATAACCAATAACATAAGTTGACCCGTGATAAACTCATTATACACCAGGAAAACCTATGTCTAACAAACCTGAAAATTATCGAAATACATTTGACTCCTAAGACATGACAGAACATAAATAAAACTATACAAACGACATATGAATCTAAAAAATATATATATATTTTTAAAATGATAACCAAAAACTTAAATTAGAAATTCTCAACCATGTTGCTTATGGACATTCAAAATTATCCCTTTTCCTTGTAGCATGCTTTGCATCAGAGAGAGTGGTCACCACCTCTGACTGCAATTTAAGATTTCTCATGACCTGTAAAGCCAATTATCGGCCTTTACTAGAGGTTAGCGGGTGATGACCCGATATGCTGGCAACACACTAAACAGGCCAGGGAACTTTTGAGGATGTTGAATAGTCAATGCTCAAGTTGAACCAACTTCTGTTAACTTCCTTATTTTTGTGTCATGGAAGTTTGTTTTCTATTTAGTTATTTTGTAGAGTTTCTTTTGTGATTATAGTCATTTGGATGAGGTCTAATTTTATTTCTCTTCTTTGAATAAGTTTTTGTACACTCTGAGCTGGGGATTCATTAAATTGATAAACAAAAGAGAGACTAATAGGCGCTTGTTCTATATATATATATATATATATATATATATATATTGTAGGGTTGGTATATTTATTAGACTTATATAAATTAAGTGCAAATTGATTCCTTATGATCATCTAAACAGTCAATATAAACTATTTAGATTTTATTTCTTAAGATCTTTATCATTAACATTTATTAACTTCTATTATTGTAGCTATACCAATATTGTTAAACTTTGTCTTCATCACAAAATTCATCAATGGTCTGATTAATAGTTTCCTTGTACAAAGTGTTGATAACCATAATCTACCAACAACAACAGCCAAGCCTTTTCCCAATTACTTGGGGTCAGCTATATGAATCCTATGTTTCCATTCCACTCTATTTAAGGCCATAGTCCCAGTCAAATCACATGCTAAACCACGAATTACTAACAAATTGGTGAAATTCCTAAACTAGGATTTCAGTTCCAGACAATAAGCAAGTTTTGAATGCAGCAAAAGAAAACACTAGGTACAATATCTTCTACATAAAACTAGATTGGTCAAAATATGATCTTGGTCATCACATCAAGTACGGGCAGCTAACAATTGGATTGCATCATAAAAGCAAATACATAATGGTAAAAGATAGGCATAAAATATTTGTGGAAACCCATACTTGGTAAAATCCAACTGAATTTAGCATGAGACTGAAGTTCATCCCTGTTATAGACATATTGGCAACAATCGAGAACCAGAAAAGCTCCCACAAAGGAACATGCTTTGATTGGGAGTAACCCGTAGCATTTGACACCAGTCCAACCAGTGCAGTAACAGCAAAGTGGAACCCGGTTAAAGTTGTGGCTGCAGAAATTAAACATAAAGCAGAACACTTGATTTAAAAATCCATATATCATGAATGCAATAAAAATAAAGATGCTCGTAATAATTCTGGAGAAATTATGATCAGTTGCAACAATTTAAGTGGATAAAACATGAAACACAATCAATATATTAGATGTGAAAATCCAACTTCATCCACTTATTATTATTATTAAAAAAAAAAAATCAACTTCATCCATAATATAATTAGAATTTACTAAACCAAAGCCTGAAACAATGACCACAACATAAATCTGGAAAATCCAGAATTGTCCTCAAGTATAAATGTATAATATTTCAACGCAAGGATTTTCCATTTATCTTGAAGATTTTTTACCAACAGCAGGCAAATAGCATACTTCTTCACTAATATAACGCACATAAATGCCGATAGGTGTATATGGTACTGTTACTATGGGAAGAAAATCATAATAATGACTACGATTCTGCCTTCATGTTTATGCTACTAAAATCTTTTTTAATTATTATTACTACCTTTTGTTTAAGAAAAGTAGAAAAATTGGAATGGCAAGAAAAACATGTTTGTCTCACAAATTTATATTTTTATCTAAAAAAACTAGGCCCAAAATTACGGAACTTCCGGAAATAGGTCGCTTGATACATCCGAGCTTAAATCATGTTGATACCGTATTCATTGTATTCCTTTCCTACTACACTTCCCCTCCTATTTGTCAACATCACTAGGCAAAGTGATCTTGTTGTATATGTCAGGCATGATTGTTCCTATTATTCTGTTCCTATTACTGCTTCCTCTTCTACTTCTTCCCCCACCCCTTCATTCTATTATTTTGCATGTTCTAAGAAAGGATTTTCATGGGAGAGCTCGTCTTGTAAGATTATGTTAAAATGTACTGAAGGTGACTGCAGCATTTGGGGCTGTGATGGTGATATTGTGCTTTGATTAGGCTATGGCAGAGACAGAGATGATGAGCAGGAGAAGCCATGTGGGAACTGTTGAGGGGGGTCCCAGCTTGGGAAAGGAAATGATGGTTGTTAAGGCATCATTTCCAAGGGCCACTCGGAGCTTGGTGTAGTAGTAGAGTGAAACATGGATAACTTTGTGCAATAGTCCATCTATTAAGGACCAGGTCAGGATAAGTGGAATAGTTTTCAAACACTGATTATATGGTGCTGTGGTTGGCCCAGCTAGTAATGAGAGAAAATGAGAGGAATGTGTTTTTGAAGGAAATAGAAAGGGAATATAGTAGTAAACCTTATGTTTCAAACATTGTAGAAATAAAGGAATATATTATTATATTTTGTGAGTGGTAAGTGAGACAAAAGGAAATTTGCATTATAAAAAATAGGGGGAAAAGAAAAATCTAGCTCTCCTATCCTTTCAGTCTTTTCCATCCATATATATTTGAAACCATTGATTACATTTTTAAAGATATATAAATTATTGTTTAAAGGGTTAATCAACTCTCAATTTTCCCTCCTTTTCCTTTCCTTCCAATTCCTTAATCCAAACACCTCCGAGATTCATCCCCAGCTGAAACAAGATGAGGAATTGATCACTCTTTTGCCACCAAAAAATGAGCCTTGTACACAGAATTGCTCTTCCCTAAAGAAGACAACCTAATAATTGTATCACAGAATTGATCAAAGCCACCGGCCTACCTCTGCCTTGGTGGCTTTGGGTCTCAACTTCTGAGCCCCAGGTCAAGATTTCAAAACTGGTAGAGGGCAGAAACAAAAGAATTGACCAAAGCTATATTTGACTAGCAATGAAAAAAGGCAATGTAGACTAGAAACACCTTGATCTACAATTATTATACACAATGAAATCAAAAGATTAACACTTTAAGGCATATAAGGTGGAAGGATTACAGAAATCTAACTGTACAGTAGTTGAGTTAACATTGTAAGAATTCAATTCGACACACACAAGCACTATATATAGAGAGGGGTGTGTGACCAGATCCAATGTAGAGAGATAGAGACAGAGAGATACTGACCGAAACTGAAAGCGTAACCATTGTTGGACATGAGCTGCTTGTTTGCCATGATGATTCCAACGGAACTCACAACATTCATCGCCCACGCACCAAAATCCGACACTGCCGACGATTTCTTCTCGGCCTCCATTGAATTTTCTTTCACAATCGCTTCCGAATCTGATAGATCTCACGGAGAAATAGCAATTCGCGTAGAAATAAAAGAAGACGAACACGACGACGAAGACAACGAAGAAGAAGCAGAAGATAGATTTGTCGTTGCCTTCACAATCTTCTGTGTCTATATATTATTTTTGCTTTCTTGTTTGTCCTGTAGAGAGAGATAGAAAACAGGTATATATATTAAGCATATACAACGTGGTGAGGGTTTGAAGATCTGGATTCTCGATTGATTGAGGGGAGGAGTGAGAGTACTAGCGAAGGTGCTATCTCTCTCTCTCTCTTCTCTTTCTCTCTCTATCCTCAATTTCCCCTCTTCGTTTAAACGGACATGAGCATTCTCACCCTTTTCATTCACCTCCCCTCCTCTTTCTCTCTCCTCTCCTCTTTCTCTCTCTTTCTTAATCAGTCAAAGGTTTTACCAAAAAAAAAATTCTTGCAGATTTTTTATTTTCCTTTTTTATTTTTAAGAAATAAATAAAAGTAAAACGGTTGTTGCGTTACCCCTTACCAGTGAAATTGATAATTTTGGTATCCAGTCTTTTTCTTTTTGAGCCAGGGGTGTCCCACAAATGTAGGATTGTCTTTCCGAACACAAATGTACACCTCCAAATCATGTCCCCATAAATTCTAGATTTTTTTATTTTATTATATATATTTTTTTTCCTCTTTTTCTCATTATTGATTTCTAAGATGACCATCAAAAGAAAAAGACTGATTAAAGAATGAGATTGATATTTTTTTCTATTAAATGTTACCCTTTTTCTATTGAGAGAAAAGAATGAGAGGGAGTACATATTTTGTAAATTAACATTTCGATGATATATTCAAGTGAAAGTAAAAAAGAAATGGTCTTAGAGTGAACTAATTGTGTATCTTTTCTGCAATTATTTATGACTAATTGGGTCTTTTTTATAATTATTGACAACTTTAATTGAGAATTATTATATTCCTTATAACAGTTCAGTTGGATCAATAACGGTGATTATAGTGATGCCCATGTAACCTGTAAGGCTCTGCGAGTAGTCGATTATGGGAGTGTCAGCGATGAATAATAAGACTCTTTAATCAACTAAGTTAAAATTCTAAAATCATCAATCTCATTATTAATATTTAATTTAATTAAGTTGTAACAATTAAATCGGTGTTTCTCCTTTTTCATATATATCACATTATGTATTAAGGTCTTTGTTTTTTTCCTAATTGTTTTAAAGTCTGTTCACTAACCCAATATATATATATATATACACATATATTTCTGTTCACAAAAATGTTAGGTGGGAAGCTTTCACATGGCTGATTTTTACAATAAAAGAAAATGGACCTAATAATCAAAATTGCAGGTCACTAATAGCAATTGAATCGGAAGCCAATTCACAATCCAATCCAAAAGCAAAAAAGCAAAAAAGCAAAAGAAGCAAACGAGAATAAAATCATATCAATCAGGTTTGTATAACCTTTTTGGAATCTTCTACCATTTTAGTTGTTTGAGTCCAATATTTTTTAACCTGACCTAATATGCTTTTGAATGATGAATTGAAAAGTAATAATATATAATATTTAGATAATTTTAAAAAAAATGTTATCCTTCACAATCTTGTAATGTTGTGCTCATGAACCATGAAATTGGTATCTTAAAGTTAAAATTAATTAATAACTGAAGACCGAGATCGAGCTGGAGTACCGGAGCCAACACAAAGAGTGATCCTTAACCAATTTTTCTAAATTATTGACCCAATTCTAGACTCTTAAAGTTTTTTGCTCAATTCCCTAAATCAACTTTATACATGAATTTTTTTTACTGCTGAGATAGAAGGAACTTCAGTTTTGTGACATTTCACGCTATATATTTCTTATGGTAACTAATTTTTGAAAAATAAAATTAAAAAGTGTACCCATATGTTTCTCGATTGGAGAAGACAACCAAAAGTGAATAAATTATTAATTATTATTCTTTAAATCCTATGGAGCCACTTCCAAGTGAAAACATCTTGATAATTGTACCTAGATAATTTTTTTATTTTTTATTTAAAAAAAACTCTCATTAATGAAATCTTGCAAAAGTTCCACTCCACTTTTTATGTTGGATTATTGGCATAAAATATATAAAAAAAATTACAGTGTTTCAATGTTAATATATTATAGAACAAATCTGACAAATCATATTCAGTGTAAGAGTGCGAGTTTAAAAAAATTCTTTAAACTGTGCAAGCCTCGCAACTTAAATTAAAAAATATTAATACATTATTCTCGTGTTAAAAAAATGCAGATCGTAGGTTAGATATTATTTATTTATTTTTCAAGTCTGAATAAACACAAGTCTAATTAAAAAAATCCTAATTGAGTTTCAAGTCTGAAAGTTTCTACCACATGGTCGTTTTATTACCTACAGTTTAGTAATCCAATATGATGAGAACAAAAAGGAAAAGAAGAAAAATAAATAAATAAATAGTTGAAAAGTGGTACCATCAGAATTAAATTAAGGCTGACTAAATAATTCCCGCTAATGACAGGTGGCTTCATGCTTATAACGACCGACACCTTCAGTTCGGTATATTGGAATATTCATACGCATGCACATTCCAGCAGACCGTTTTTGACTTTAAAAATGTTTCCTTAACGCGGTGTTTGGAACGAAGGAAAGAAGAGAACACTAGAGGAGAGTTGAAAAGTCGCGGTCACCGGCCGGCCTTATCTTCTATTCCAAACAATGGAAAATTATTTATCTTATCTCCTCCCTCTCTATTCTATTCTGTTATTTCACTTTCATTCCTCCTCCCAACCAGTAGGTGAGATTTTTTTTTAAAGATACATGTGCTTTATCTTCCCTTTTCTTTCTCCTCTTTTCCTTCCTTTTCTCCACTCGCACAACCAAACAGCTAATTCCTATCCCCATCTTCCCTTCTATTCTCTTCTTACATTCCCTAACGAAGGAAAATACAACATTGATACAAGAAGATAATTTCTTAAAGAGGAGTGCTAAACAGACTCCACTCTAACAACCAAACAACTAATTCCCATCCCCATCTTCCCTTCTATTCTCTTCTTACATTCCCTATTTTCCTTCATTTAACATGCAACATTGATACAAGAAGGTAAATTTTTAAAGAGGAGTGCTAAACATCGCACATCTAGTTGAAAACCCAATTATAGAAGTTGTAATTAATGCCTCTTCTCTTATTTTTTTAAAATTATAAAACTTCAACTTTTAAGACCAAATTATCTTTTTATATTTCTTCTTTCTTTTCTACACTACTTGTTCGTGTGTGCGTGTATATATATATATATAACTTTCATTCTTCTTTACTTACCTACCTTATTCTTTAAAAAAAATGATGTTAATTGATTGCTTTTTTTTTTTTTTCCCTTTCAATTCTTTCATTTTCTATATATTAATATATATATATATAGTAGTTAATCATACTGCAAACAGAAAAAGAAAGAAAGTAAAGAATGAAGTAGAGGCATATATATCCAATCAGGAAAGAAAGAAAAAAAAACAGAAACGAAAGAAGGCAATTGTTAAAAATAAAGAAAAAAAATAAAGTTAAATATATGTAACAAAGGAAAGAAGGAAGGTTATGAGTATAAAGAAAAAGAAAATAATTTAAAAGGATAATTTAGTTTTAAAGTTAAGTTTTATAATTCCAAAAAAATAGGAAAGGAACATTAATTACAACTTATTTTTTTTACCAATCAGTGAATGCACAATTGCGCAATGTGTTTAGCACTCTTGAATAAAATCTACCATTGCAGACAACCACGATTTTCATTTTGCATCTCTGATTTTGCGCGCTAAAACGAATATATTCATTTATTATGAATTATCTTGTATAGGCTAGCATCGATTTAAATAAAACATAGACAGCCCCAAGCAACGTAACTCCACAAGAAATCTTCATGGTTGCATTGTTTTACAATCAAATCAAACTTCTGCTTGTTTTTTACCACAAGCTTTCATTCCATAACCAAGCAACATGACACACAAATCTTCAATTATAGAAAAGAAATTAAACTCTGGAACCTAAAATGTACAACTGCAAATCGAAATCATGAAGATGACAATCCAACAAAATGAGAAATTCAGATTACAGGGGCGCCCAACCTAGGCAAACTACCTTCAACAATCCTCACTTCTTATCCGTATGAGTATCTGTTCTATAAATACATTACAACATGTAGGCTCAACTAGAGGCAGAATGTGCTTTCAAGCATAGAGTATACACTCGTCAATACATACACACATTCAACAAACGACGAACTCATACCCCTCCGACACCCATAACAAATCATAAAAACAATAGGTGCTATACTACAAGCGAGTTGCACACTTCAATTATCCTCTCCTGCATATTTAGGGATGTCTTTGAGCACCGGGTGGTGCTGTTGGCATTGGGAAGTTATAGGTGTATTGGTTGCCAACAAAGTGGGGAGCCTCCACATACGGGCTCTGGAAGGTCCAATTGCATAGAAAGTTAATGAACAGCAGCAATAAAAAACAAAATAACAAGCAATATGAGAAAATTGTGCAAGAAAAAAAGGAAGTTAGATGCAAGTTTTTCATTTTTACTTGGGAGGCATTTGGATTTTGAACTTTCATAAAGGAATGACTCAAGGATTTTGTTACGGGCTTTTAAAAAAACACCATGTCTATCATTAGTTTGCCAAAATCCACAAGAGAGAAGGATGTACATGCATCAAATTCTTATTAAACCTCCATCTAGTAATTCCTTTAATTATTTAACCAGTAATACAGAAATCGTTTGATGCGGTTCTGTTGCATTGATAAGCAGAGATAAAACATTCTTTGTATGTTAATCATATCACAGGTGCCGAGCTATATTGGAACTAAATGTCTTCAAGATTAGTAAAATTCTGCTTTTATGAAGGTAATTCTGGTATTATCTTCATTATTGCATGTCTATTGTTTCACATTTATGGATTTTCAATTCCAATCCAGGATTTCTTTTTGTCTAGCCGAGGCAATCCAAGTTATCCTGACATCTAAACCACTTCTCTTAATTTTACAGAATGTCTTCTACAAATGTCTTCATGAACTGTCTGTTCTAAATCAATCCGAATTTTCTACATATAATTGGCTTCCCATCATGAAGTTCTGTTTGTCTAGCGGCATTGGCAGTCTAAGTTGCACTAAACATCAAAAGTGTCTCTATTTTCTTATTGAACTCTTATCATTACATGAAAATGTGTTGTTTCCTGCAGGAGTATCAGAGCATATAGTCAAAAGCCCAAATCACTCGATGTGCAGTACTTTCATTTTTTATAATTTTCAAAGAAGTATTCTCATAAAAAAACATTTGATCGGAAATAAATGTAATTATAAATGAATCATTGGTTTCATTCAAAATTAAGGCATGTCAGCATCAAGTAAATCGCACCCTCTGATTGGTCCAGTCAAGAGTATAAAAGATCAGTGTAATAAAATGAGTTCTGGCAATATTATTAGTAGCATTTTCTAGTGACAACTTATTTCATTCAAAAATAAGATATTCAGAATAACCAACAGGCCAGTGGCCTAGCGGTACCAAGCTCCTACTTCCCAAAGGGTGGTCAGGGGTTCGAGCCTCCATGGAGGCATGTGTGTGAGTACCAATTAGGGAAAAAAAAAGATATTCAGAATACTGCATTTTACTACCTATTGATTTTATGAAGCCAAAAATGCCTTGAATTCCTAAAATGATCGGAATTTAATGGGCAAGAAAAGAGAAGGTACCTGTGACGAAAATGCAGTACACGACATGTCTTCACGATTTGAGGATTTTGGTGATGTACTGGGAGAAACAGCATCAAGATTTCGTTCACTTCCATTTATTTTGTGAACATTATTGTTTAACACACTTTCACTCTCGTTCCCATTGGAGGATTTAACCCTCTAAATTGAATCATTATTTGAAAAGTATCAGGTATCTGAAGAAAAAAAATAAGGAAACCACATGATATTGAAAATAAAGCATGAGACACAATACCTGAAAGATTCTACCAAGAGTTTTCAACCCCTTGGCTCGTGCACGGAGCTCCTCTTTCCTCGTGTTGTTCTCTAGAAGAACCTGTGACAAACCACAAACAAATTACCATACAACAAAAGTACTAAACAGAGTGTTAGCCAACCATCAAAGGATAATAACTCAGTAAACAACCATCTGACAAACGCGGGAAAGGGTGGCTTCAATATCAGCTACATTAAGCTTCCAAAGGGAATCAATCATCAACTTCTTGTGAGACTGCATGTATTCTTCAAGTTCTTCTTCAGTGTAGTTTCCTTCTGCATTTAGTTGCCGTTTCATGTCCTCTTGCAGCTGAATCAAAGCAATTGCACCTACGACAGGCACTTAAAAGTCAATTTTCTTCAATTAAAAAAAATGTCACAGTTAACTGAGCTGTACAGATCTTATCTTAAGCAGCACCCTTTTGTGGAACACATTAATTAAAGATAAACCTCCAAGCATCCACAAGGACCATGACTAGAGGCAACAAGGATGTCAAGACACAAGGCAATAGTCACATGCACCAACAGTGCATTGTCAAAAAAATTATGTAAAAACTCAAAACAGCTCCAAGGACATGCCAACCTCATTGCATATGATGAGCTTACTGAAAAGAACATTAGAAATTGATCTACAAAAAGGATGCTTAAGGCTCAAAGGAAAGAATTTACTTCTAAAATCAAGCTTAAATTAAAGAAACCCAGGAAAGAGTCAAATTATCTAGCATATGGCCATAATCCACTGAGACAAAATTCTCAGTCAATAACTTATTCTTGAATCCCCACAGACCATGAGAAACATAGAGAGCACAAAATTTAATATTCTGCCCAGACACCAATATATCAAATTTTTATAAACAATTTTGGTGAACATGCGAGTTTGACAAACAACATCAAATGCCCATGCACCAATCTCAAATAATGGTAACTAAAAAAAGTAACTCAGAGAAAAATTGCTTTCACGATTAAAAACAGTGTCCAATAACCTGTTGCCGCTGTTACTTGAGATTTAATGAAATGGCCTTTGTTTCTGAACCACTCAGCAATAAATGGCACGCCCAAATATATTGCCTTCTTCCCAAGCTCTTTAGCTGCCTGTCTTGCATATATATAGCCAATTGTATTCAACATATCAACACCATATGCTGTCAAAACAGAGCATGAAAATAATAAGAAACAGCAACATGCTGTCACAGAAATACAAATAGAAATTTGCTGTGCAACGAACAAGGGTGAACACTGACATTTTGCACTTTCATTTGCCTTTTTTTTTTTTTTTGATAAGTAACTTTCATTTGCCTAATTAAGGCTTTGTCTAAACATGCCTGCACCAATTGTTCTGGCCAGATCTCAAAATTGATTGCTGGGTTCCAAACAACTTGAGACAGCAGTCCATATCCGGTGTGGGCGTTAGAGCATTGAGAGGACCTTTCCCTAGTCCAAGAGGACCAGGAAGGATGCACCTCTGGTGATTAAAAAAAAGAGAGCAGCAGAGAACCCATTACAATTGAAGAACCGAGATTTTATCCTATTTTGAGCGACTTTCTCTGTTTAACCCAAAAATATTGAGTAATTCCTTTGTCAATGTCATAAACATACAGGTTTTCTTTTATTATTATTTGTAAATTACCTTCTCATAGGCAGACAGATCATCATGAATGAGCATAATATCATTGGCCAGTTGGCTAGTGACCATGCAACATAATGTTGAAGGCATGGCTGACAGTAGCAGTGCAAATCGGTTGGATCTAGCTCAACCCAACCCGAGCCCAGCCCGAATTAAAGGCGGGCTCGGGTTAGCCAATTTAACACGAGGGTTGGACTCGGGCTGAATTTTCATAGCCCAAGGCCATTTAATAAATTATTATTATTATTATATTAAAGTAAATCCTAACCATCTATTTTGATCCAACAGCTATTGTCACCCCTGTATGATCTCTCTTATCCCTTAGAAAATCACAAACCCTAACCCACCTGCTAGAGAGAAACCCTAGCTGCTGTTCCATCTTCATCTCCTCGCCACCACGGTTTTCACCCTGCCGCAATTGTCGTCTTCATCCTGCCACCGTTATCTGTCCCCATCCCACCGCCATAGTCACATCTTCATCTTGCCGCCGTCATCATCTTCATTTCGCTGCCGCTGTTTTCATCCCATCGCCATCGTCGTCCTCATCCCGTGTGATTTGAGTAATTTTCAGTTCGTCAGAAGTGTAGTTTGTGAATGGGTTTTTGTAGTTATAGTAATTTTTTTTCTGTGAACAGAGGCAATTGTTGAGGATGATTACAAAGAGATAGGTGTGGATGTGATGGTTGAGAGGAGAATGTGGAGGGATAAAATACAAGGAACTGTAAAAGGCTAAGTAGAATCTCTCCTGGTGTTCAGACAAACAGGGAACCTGATCAACCCGATCAACCTGTCCAACCCACACATTTTCGGATTTCGGGTTGACAACCTCAACCGGAGGTCAGGTTGGGCTCGGGTTTGCTTGAATTGACCCGAGACCGGGTTGGAGTCGGGTTCTGATTGAGCCCATCCGACTTGCACCCCTAGTTGACAGGGTAAGAGACCAAAGAAGAAACAAATATATCATAATTGATATAAAGTAGACTCCACCCATGTTGTGCTTAGTGTAATATCTTTACGGAACCCATTCCAAGCCTAAAAAAAGGGAAAGTTGTGTTAGGTAGTAGTAACCAGTGTAATACCTTTGTTAATCCATATGAGCCTATGTCTCAAAATTATTTGAGTAAACATTATGATATTTTTCAAGTGATACGTTGCATAAATTTTTGGGTGGTTTAAAAAGTTGGAAAGAAATTACCCCAAGGTTGGCCTAGAATAGCAACTTAGAATATACGAAAAATGTTGTAGAGAAGTGGAATTAGTAGACACCGTGATTAGAAGGAAGGTTAATCTAACATATCCACACAAAAAATAAGTGGGTGAAAGGAAAGTTAGAGAAATTTAAAATACAGGATATAAGCTCTATAAAATTGAAAAAGTGGAGTAAAAATGGACTAGATATAATGGTTAATAAAAATTTAAAATAAGTTATAATTGTTATTTGAAAGGGGGATATGATAATATTGATTAAATTAGTATTGGGAAAAAATATGGTGAGTAAAATTACTTATGCACTCCAAGTAAGAGTAAAGAAACGCATTAAAGCACAAATTTTGAACACAGTGAATTATTAAAACAAGGAGTGCCAGAAAAGGAGAAATTATTAGTTGTTGGATACTTTTAATGGTTGTATTATAACTAATAATGGTTGCTTTACTAATTAGTTGTTGAATACTTTAATGGTTGCTTTACTTATAATTTTTTTTTGGTTGTGTGTGTGCATATATATAAGTGAAAGGGATGAGGTAATGTATGGTGGACAGAGATTTGGAGATAGAAATGATGATGGGGAGACTATCATACACCTCAAAGTAGCAAATAAATCTGACAGCAGTGAATACCTATTTTAAAAAGAGAATTGACATTTAATAACTTCTAAAAGTAGATTAGAAGAGTATATCAACTAGCATGCAAAGATTGTAAGAATAAATGAGGAGAAAGTTTAATCTCGCAATATAGGTTTATTGTTTAAGATGTTTATATGAAGAATAATCAAGAAACAGAAAAAAGAGAATGGAAACTCAAATAAAGGTGGTGGAATTTATAAAGGGAGAAAGTAGAATTGTATACAAATAAGAAAGGTATGAAGTTGTATCGAATTTAGAAAGAGAAAACTAAAGTAAGAATTTCAAATTTCTCAGTGAATCAAAAGGATAAGGAATTATCTAAAGCAACTTGAATCGTTAGTAACAGCTCAAAAAAAAAAAAAAAAAAGTTATATAATTTGACAAAAACCCAGAAATGAACAAATTTCTAAAAAGTAGAAACATATAAAGGAAAAAGTTAAGAAACAAAGTAGTATGAAAAGCTAATCATAAAGCATGCAACATCTTTATTCTAAATTAGGTATAAAGGATTCATACTATCTAAGTTAAAGGAGAGGAAACTATCACTTATATTAAGTACATTAAGATTTAAGAGTCTTGGTGAAAGATGAGAGGATTGAAAACATTTGAAAAAATTAATCAGAAAAGCTGTTGAATGAAAGCTATGCCAAAAGCTTTAAGTTTAAAAAAATATGGTAACCTTCGGAAAATTTGAGAAAATAAATTCTTGTTGTTGGACGAAAGTGCATGGGGGTAAATTGTTGCATTGAGGAAAATGAAAACATAAAATCATTTAGAATTAGATGACATTCTTTTTTTGGAAGTGTTTAGGATAGTGGTGTGTGTCGATTGGCAAAATTTAATAATATCACCATAACTAAGACAATTTTTGACAACTGGTGAAAACAGTATTTTAGTATCTATATAAAAATAAGCAATATATTTTGAGGTGTAGAAAGTATCATGATACTATCATAAAAAAAGTAATATTATGAAACTCTAGAAGGAGTAATTAATTAGCTATTACAACTTGAAACAGTAAAAACAAAAAATCAATTTGGATTTAAGAACTTTAATTACTGAGTAAATTAACTGAAATATGTAAAAAGACAAAGAATGATATCCACGTGGCTTTTATAGATTTGAAAAAACATAGGTCTACTCAGCTCAACTCAATAACGTCTTTTCCCAACTACTTGGCATCAACTACATGAATCATGTTTTTCTATTCCACTCTATCTATGGCCATCGCCTCAGTCAAATCATAACATATCATATATTTTCTTCCTAACTCTACCCATGTTAATTTTGACGTTCCCTTCCCCTAATATTACCCTCAATGTAAACAATGTCAACTCTTCTTAACTGATGCACATAGTACATGTATGATGGAGTTGTAACTAAAATAAAAACTAGGAGTGCAACTCGAAGGGTTGAGGGCTCAACCCAAACTTAAGATATAAAACCTTCAACCAGGTTCAACCTAACCTGACTTTCAAACCAAATCCAACCCATGTTTAGATTTTTGAACTTGGGTTGTGATAGGGTTATAAAAATTGAATTGATCTCGAGTTCACCTCAGGTGGGGTTACTTCTATATATAAAAAATTCTAAAAATTGAATGTAAACAGATATAATATTAAATAATTTCTCAAGAAGTTAATTTTTCAAACGATTAATATACAAAAATTCTAATTTAAGAAAAAAATAAACTGAAAAAAGGTTTATAACGATTATAGATTTATGTAGTATACTTTAAACAATAAAATAAAATAAGTAAGGTTAGAAATAATTCGGGTTATAAGTTCGGGTTGGGTTGCCTACAATCCAACACAAGCCCAACCCAAATTAATGAGTTTCCATGATGTATGCTGCTTATTAATAATATTGTTCTCATCATTGAAATTGGAGATCGAAGATTGAGGGTCAACAGACACTAAGTGAGCTATTTCATTACCTGTGCTCGATGATTCAACAAAAGGGAGATATTAACGATCATGTTACACATAAAATTTAAGCAGTATGATTAAATGGAGTGTATTTAATGTATACCTCTAAAAATAAATAAACAACAAATTCTATAAAATGGTTAATAGAGCAGCCATATTTTATGAGAGACAAAATGATAAACAACTAAAAAAAAAAAATGTCCAAAAAATGAGCGTGGCAGAAATACAGATGTCCTCGGTTACACAAGAAACAATAAAATTATGGAAGATTATATTCGATAAACAATTGATGTGTCACCCTAAGTAAAATGGAAGAAAAATGAGTAAAATTGTTTACCTATGTGAAACAAAGACAAATAATTACATTATGACATGGTTTGCATTCAGAGCAATACAAGGAGAACCAAAATCAACATGGATTGACATTGTAAGGAAAGACATCATTATGTGCTTAACTAAAAATTACGAATTTAGATAGAACAAAATGGAAAAACATGATTTATACATTTGACCTCAAACAGTTGGGATAAGACTATGCTGAAAAGTATATTTGATATCAAGTAGCAGTTAATGTGTTAGCTAGCAAGCGTTTGAATCTAAGGCAAGAGTATGGGGTGAAATTGAAATCATAGGAGCAGCTGTAATAAGGGAGACAACAGCAGAGAAAGAAAATTGAAACAGGTCACTGACTTAGAAGTGATAAAGGAAATAAAAAATTGAAATGAAGAAGAATTTGTAAAGCAAAAAAGGAGAAAAAGGGAGAGTTATGATCCACCAACATTTTTAGAAGCATAACCTAGAATAATCATGATATCTACACAGCAAGATTTTAGCAAGTCCTCATAATCTGGGTTGTGATAATAAGAATAAAGGTTTCTATAAAAGGTTACCGACCCTTTATAAATTAGCAAATCCTACTCGGACATTATGTATTCTTTTATTCTTTTCAAAAATATAAAAGTATCTAAACCACCTAATAGCTGGCTTTCCAACCGCAGGTTTGGCTGGGTTTGCTCTGTGTTGAGGACATGAGATGCATGTTCAAAGTGAAATTCAGAGTTTGAATGATTTTAAGCTCAGAGTTAAGGGCTTAATATTTGCCGGTTTCAATTTTTAAATCAAGTGACTAAGTCATGGCATTCATTTGGAAGCAATACTTTCCTTTTCAGAAAGAATATTTGATGTATCACAGCTGTGGTCAGCTCCCACCAGCAAAAATTTCAGGGCTACAGAGCAATCCCTTGACTACAACAAAGACACAAAAGAAAGGACCCCATACTATATGATGATGCTTGTAGCCCTAGTGAGAGTGAGTCACCAAGTAACAAAACATGAAAGATTGAAGATCGAACTAGATGACATAATACCTGCATTAGAGAGCCGTGAAACTTCAGCTTCGGCTTGATTAACGAATTCCTCTTTGTTTCCTTGTACATACAGGTTGAGTCGATCTTTCAGTATTACAGTGAGCTTCTCTTCTCTTTCCCTTTGAACAACCTGTAATAAAATTGAAATTGAACAAGCAAAGTGTGAAAATTTGACATGACAACTCAAAATTACTGAAGTAGAATGTAGATGAATTGTATACCGACATGACATATCCAATTTCTAAGAAAGAAATAAAAAGACAATAGTAATAATAAAAAATAAACATCACGCAGTCTTGGTTTAACCAATTCAAGGTGTTCCAAGGGATGCACTAAACAAACATAATTACTTTATTATCACAAAGTGGACACGCTTAGACTTGAAAACCCTTTCTCATGCTTGGCCTTATTAGTTACCACCAAACCAAGTTGTGGCCCTAATACAAACTCTATAGGTATAAACAAATAAAAAAACCCTGGTACTTTAGAAAAACAAAGAGGGCCTGTTGAAAAATGTTTATGTTTAACGTATATCAGCCAACATAAGAAGATCGATTTATATCTTCAAAAAGAAGGGGAAAAAAAAAAAAATTTCTTACATAACTTGACATAAAATGCAATATAGAATTTGGGGGGGGAAGAGAGACTTCATTGATGGGTTTCAACAGATGTGAAACGCACACATAAAATTCCTATAGAACCACAGTACAGGCACAATAACAGAAGTGTGTACAAGAAAATTATTTACAGGGGGGGGGGGGGGGGGAAGACTTCATTGATGAGTTTCAACAGATGTGAAACGCACACATAAAATTCCTATAGAACCACAGTACAGGCACAATAACAGAAGTGTGTACAAGAAAATTATATACAACATTAAGACCTATGCGGGATAAATAGAAAATTACCCTCATTTTCTCCTGCAACTTTTTAGGATCAAAATCTTCCCCTTCTGTGAAAATATCCAGCGAAGCCATCGATGCCATGGCAAGCTGACCAATGTACTCCTCAAAAAGCTCACTCCCAAAAAGCATTGCGAAGATTGCAGCAGGATCAATGATTGCATCGCTGCAATGAAGATAAGTACACAAATAAGTATAAGAAAATAACATATATATTAGCTAATCAATTTAATAAGAATTTACACACCCGCATTTCTACATATACTACTTAAGTGTCCAGTCAACTTTAAGAATTTAATAACAAATTAAAAACATAAAACTGACGTCGATATTCCTGATTTTCCATAAGCATCATAGGCCTCCCTTTGGGTCGGATCACTCAGTACTTGGTAAGCCTCTCCTAGAACCTGAATTCAAATGAATAAAAACTTATCTTAGAAAATAAATAAGACAAACAAATGATTCTCAAACTTCATAAACAAACATGTACAAGGTATAGATATGATATTCTAAAGATAACCAAACAAGTTAGCAGCTCTTCTATTTCCACAATGACAATGTCATCTTGTCAAAAGGGTATGCATAAATTCATTAAGGTTGTCCACGTATGCGTAAATCTATTGATGGAACAGCAGAAGCCATTTATTTATTTTTTATAACTAAACAAAGCTCCAACTTTCAGAAAAAACTTTTGCTACAATGCAAGCCTGTGCTGGAGGCACATGATTAGGTGTATATTATCCAGTTCCTACTTATTCTGTATATCCTTCCCATGTGCAACTCTAGTGACATTATTGAAGCCTTTGTGGAGTAAACCCAAGCAACCAACAATGCATGGATAAAATAAAAAATCTTTTTAAGAACAGAATTATGAACTTCATGATAACATTTTAACTGAAGTCCTGCCTGAAAATTTTGTGCTGCAAGAGGATCATTTGGATTTTTATCCGGATGGACCTGTCGTGCCTGAAAAACCACAAAGGAAAAATGATTCAGCAGACAAAGATAAAACATTTACTGGCTCTTAGTAATCAAGATAGTGAAAGACAGATAGTAATCAAGAAAGAGATGGGCCAAAAGATGGTAAATGCATTATAATATATGAATCACAATGCAATGAGTAATACTGAAATATTTTTTGGTTTCGTTTGTCAAACTGACTAAAACCAAAATATAGATAAACAAGGCACTTTAATTGAGGATGTTCTTCGAAAACTGCCATCGGATGGCTCTAAATACTAGTACCTTATCATGATAGATCTTCCCCACAAATGTACCATAATACACATGCAACGTCAATTGTAGAAGGACTGCATGTTAGAAAGAAACAAGTTTGCAATCCAAATATTTTAGAGCAATGACATCTTTTGTAACTCAACACCATATATCCACCCAGTAAGAAGATAGCTGACTCATGATCTCATTTATTTCAATTACCTCTTCATTTTGCCTTCTTCCTTGGAAAAAAGAGCTAAATTTATTCTGACATAACAGTCGTTTGGAGAGAAATACTATTAGTTAACATACCAGGATAATTAAAATAAACACTAGGATATGTCCGTATTTTGCACAGTGTTAAGCGACAACTTAGGTAATATATTCCAGCAAAAAATATAGTCTTAAAAAGAGCAACCTACCATGGGCCTCTCTTCCAAAGTCCTACCCTTCGTCTACCCATGGTCATGAGCAGACTTTGTCTTAGAGTGGGTTCCATCGGTCCCACAAGCTCTAATATGGATTGATGTATACCCTAAACAAGCACAATTAGGCTAATCTATACACAACGAGATTTTAGTTCATGTTTCCAAATGCTTAACATGTATTTCAAACTCTCTGTCCATTAACTGTGTTCCCAGAACATTTTCATTTCAAAGATGACCAAAACAAGGCACTGAACAAAATTCAATCCTTGCTCTATCTTCCAATGTTTTATTATTATACCTGGTTTATGCATAGCCTTTTTTGCGCTCATCTGGAATACTTGGTTAGAAATAAAAAAGAAGGAGAAACTTTAAAATGTAGAAGTGATGACATTACTCATGAAATAAGATTCAAGTAATGCCTTCATTTGGGCATCTCTTGCTTCTACTAAAATGACCTAAACACCAATGTGCTCTTCTATAGGCTTGAAGGCTGCTCCTGAGGCAATAAAGGGATGAAGTTTGCTCTGACTTAAATGGTCTCCAATATGCGAAAAATCCGTGAATAGCTGACAACATTCTCCCAGTCATTACATTAGTACCAAGGGATGTCAGCCAAACATTTAGAAACCTTAATCTGAGATTGAAAGTGGCATGACTCTTTTTTCTTTTTTCAACTGGATGATATCCTAAAGAGGACCATTTTGAAATGGTAGCAAACAGTTCATAAACTGCCAACTATGAATAGACTGGGTATGAAGGAGAAAAAAAGCCAGAACAACCATTCAATAGGAGTCCTAAGATCTAGAATCAATGATCAAAACATCTCCGAATGAAACCCAAAAAGTAATTTCAATATATACGTATGTGTGTGATATATGCATTCTTATCCATAAGTATCTGAATTGCATCCAAAGCCCAAAACCCATCAATATATCCGACAAAAATATGTGAATTGTTTTCCTCAAAATCTCTCACGAATTCCTCCTAATGGATCTAAAGATCATGAATTGAAAAAAAATTCACAACCCAGAATTCCTTAGACATCCAACTTCTCTGTAGAGATTCGATTACCAAATAATACTCATATAATTTCAAAAAGAAAACAGTGAACCCTTTTTTATGCCACTCGGAAGTGAAGAGGAATTGAAGTGATTGCTTCACACAAAGATTTGAGTATAAGTTTAGAGAACTAGGTATTGAAGAAAGCGATACCTTGACGTAATAAGCCTTTTTAATCTCGGCCTCGGTGGCCGTGGGGCTGATACCGAGAACGTCGTAGTATTCTGTCTCCTTCACCATGATGTTTTCAGATTTGTCTCCGCCTTTTTTCCCGATTAATCGATCGAATGAGTAATCGATATATATATATATATATACACAATCAGATGATATATTAACTAACAACTCTGAATTTCAATCTCTCGTTGTTATTAGTAGCGAGGGATTAGAAATTTGGATTTGGGAATAAGAAAAATATGCAATACGCGCAAGAACTAGGTTGTCTGGAAATTACATGCCTGTTTGACCTTTGATTCCGCCGCGTTGACTATCGCCGGCTTCCTCATTTCGTCTTTAAAAAATTTAATTTTTTTTTTTTTTTTTTTTTTTTTTTAATGCTATAAAATAAACTCCATTACGTTTGTTTTAGCTTTTATTTTAGAAGATAAAAATATCAAAAAGTATATAATTTGGTTCGATTCTGACAGGTGATTTTATTCTGATTCGATTTATGTAATTTATTGGTAGTTTTTTTTTTTTTTTAAAGAAAACAAATTCTATTCTAGTTAGTGATCTCAACATAAAAGGAAGTTTTTAATCTATTTAGAACCCCTTGGTACCCCATTGGTTTGAACTTTGACGTGAGATTGAAAATAAAAGGTTTTTTTGTTAATAGAATTATTTAAAAATTGTGTTAGATGTTTTGTGATTCATTATAATATTTTATAATTAAAATATATATTTAATTTGTTAATAAAAATTTAAAAAATTATTTTATTGTTAATTTTATAAAAATTAGTTAGTGATCTCAACATAAAAGGAAGTTTTTAATCTATTTAGAACCCCTTGGTACCCCATTGGTTTGAACTTTGACGTGAGATTGAAAATAAAAGGTTTTTTTGTTAATAGAATTATTTAAAAATTGTGTTAGATGTTTTGTGATTCATTATAATATTTTATAATTAAAATATATATTTAATTTGTTAATAAAAATTTAAAAAATTATTTTATTGTTAATTTTATAAAAACATATTTTAATGAAGATGTTACTATATTTAATAGATAGCAACTTTATAAAACAAATAGTGAAATTATTTTCATAAAAAAGAAAAAAGAAAAAATTGTCTTAAGAAAAATTATTATCTAAAATATATAACTTCTATTCTCAATACAATTTTAAAAGTTTTAAATTTTAATTAAATTCAAAAATAACTATTAAAAGTGTGTTTTTAATGGTTATCACTAAACACATTTAAACTTAATTTTTTTAAAAAAAATTATTTTTTAATTGTTGAAAAAAGACCTGGAACGGACTCTTTGACAAGTATTAAAATATTCAGAATCTACTTGTAACTCATTTATAATAGACGTGTTAAAAAAAATATTCCGAAATGAATAAGTAGATTTATAATCTTATAAAAATGTCATTTGTTATATTTTTAGTTAAAGAAAAAAAAAAAAACCATCTTTTATTTTTAAGTCAAAATAAAAGTAAGATTTACTGTTAGTAAACAGCGGTAAGAGCATTTTGAGCGGTTTGTTAAAATACTTTTTTGTGTAAAATATACATTTTCACTTATGATGTGTAAATATTTTCTATTTCCAGCAATCTGTTAAAATACATTACCATATCACCAATGTGTAAAAGAGTTGTGTATTTTACACAATATGTTTACACTACTAGATCAATATATTTCATTTCTCATTCCTTTTTCTCTACAATTAAAAAATCAACCATATATTAAATAGATTTGTAAAAGTTATGTGGCGTTTTGGCATGACACAAGATTGATCATCATTGGGTAATATATTTTTACACAAAAGATATAAAACAATCGTTGGAGTTAAAATTAAATAATGTAAGATTTTTGTGTAAATTCATCATGACACATCAGATTTATACAAAAAAAAAATATACACAACGGTTGGAGATGCTCTCAAGAATTGTTTACTTTCAAAAGTTCTTTCTTTTTTCATAAATAAAGTTTATAAAAAAATAAATAAATAAATTTTAAAAACTATCACAATAGTAGTCAACACAACCATAAAAGAATATTTTAATTAATTTTAATTAGGCAAGTCCATTACTGGGCTCATTTATTAAACAAACTTAAAAATAAAGCCATATCACCCTGTTAGTCTCTCAACGCCATGACACGGCTCAATTACGTTGAGTTGACAACAAACAATAATTGTTTGTTTTGTACGTTTACTTTAGTAGAAGTAATGTTTCTACCTTAAAATATGTTTAATATAATTTGAAAATCTATTTGGTATTGTATATTTAGTGCAAGATTTTTGAAAATAAAACATGCTTGATAAATATTAGTTTAAAACATTATTTTAAATATTTTTTTCTTTTTAAATTGTGCTTTTGTTACAATAGTTAAGCAAATCAGAAGCATTAATTTTTTAGTTTTTCAAAAGAAAAATTATAAGTCTTTCGGCTTCAATTACAGGCTCCTCTAATATCCCACGGTTGGAGAAAGAAAGAGAAAAAGATATTTACGGATGTTTTTTTTAATTTTTTTTTTAAGAGTTGCAATGTGTTTTTGCTTGGTAGCAGTAATATCCAAATGTCATTTACTACAATATTTGTAGTTCTAAAAAATAATAATAAAATCCCCACAAACTAGAGAATATTTTTGAAGTTTTATTACATTTAACAAAAGGCAAGAGAAAACTGTATGAAGACGAGGCGGGAAGGATCAACGGAGAACTAGGGCATTGACTCCATCGAAAAAGCAGTCCATAAAGCTCACAAAGTATCCAAATTACAGAACAAATTCCTCTCTTTCGGTTCAGAAAAGGAGCTAGGGAGGTTCCAAGTGTCGGCAATTTTTCTTGGATAGGGACAATTGCTAAGAAAAGGCAATTTCGGATACAATCACAAATTTAGGGTTCTCATAGGATTATTGGAAAGGTTGTTGAAAACCCTAGAATTTCGTTCTCCTTTTCAATTAGGCGAACAATTTGTAAAAATGTGATACTTCCATTTACCAATATTACAAAATCTTTTGGGTAAGCCACCCCTACAAAGAAAAATGATATTGTAATGTTCCACATAATTGGGAGAGGATGTTGGCATTCATACGTGTACATGTCTCCTAACTGTGAATACGTGCTTTCGAAAATAGTGAGCAAGCAAACAATATCTACACAGTGGGATGGGATGGGTCATCTTCTGAAAGAGACCCCACTTGAATGCATTCAAAAGAGAGCCATGTTCGGTACTCTCTCAATACTCCTTGTGTAATACTCAAATTACTAAGTAGCTCAATTGATATTTACTGCATTTCATTGAAATCATATATATGATGATTGGCATGAAAATGTTCGAAGGAATGACATATAATGATGCAAACTATCATGAATGTGATCGTGTTGAGTTGTTTATAGTTGGAGCAAGAAATGTTTAGTGAAATAGCGTCTCAACGGACTAATGTGGATGATCTTAGAGTTGCAGAATTTGTGTCTATCTATCTATCTATCAATGGAGGTTTGGCTATTGGAACGAATTCGGATTTGCACTGACACCGACGCTCAAATTCATTGTATGTTTGTGATTTTATAACCAATACTCCAGGCAAAGGCTCAGACAAAGCGTTGCACTCATGAAATGCCTTTGTAGGTAATTCCTAAATCCGCGGATTTACATGAAACGAAGAATGTGATTGTTTATCTGCTTCAGTATACTTCAAAACCACATTGCATATTGCACTGAACAAATCTTTCCATAATGTTTTAATTATTCTTTTGGTAGATAAGCACTCACAACCAGTTTCTTTCTGCAATTATTAGTAATAAACAAGGTGATGAGTAATTTCTTCATGCATCTCTCTACCGGATGTAAAGTTCTCTCTCTTTTAGCATGTACCTTCTCACAATTTCTTGCTTGCACATACTGTGAATTTTGAATACAAGGATAACAATCATGTCGCTTTACCCCTTACTTTGATCTTCCTTGGACAAAGTACGTCGGTGAAACTGCAAAAGTGGTCCGATCCTCTGCACATAAATGTAAAGTTTGTTAGTCCTTATTCTTCAAATCTCTATACATAAAATAAGTAGAAGAAAAGTTTTATAATCTTTCTTCTTATTTTTCCATTGTAGTGCTCCATATATAATCATAACTTACACATGCACTGCGCTTTTTTGTGAATGATGATCTTCGGTAGCCTTTGATAAGCCTTTCTGAAACTTGGCTCTGCTCTCTCTTTCTCTGTTTTCATTTTCGAACAATATATCTTGACTGTATGGTTCTACACTAGCATCACTATGTGGAATTGAGGATAATGACCACCACCTGTGTTTAGGTTTGTTGGCTGTCATGATATGATCCGTGGTTATTGAGGGTTGTTCTCTTGTTAAAATATCTCTTTCAGGATCTACATACGAATCGAATTGGTTATTCTGGGTCAAAAGTCCGGTAAAGGGTACAATCACTTGAGGCTGAGCTGTAGTTGCCTCCTTTTCTTCTGATGGACATCCATCATGCCCTTGAGATGGTTCACAGTCATTCAATTTGACGAGCCTCAAGTGTTCTGATGGAGGAGGTGATTCATGAGCTGTAAGGAATTGAGTTTCAGCTTCTGAATTTCTATGGTGAACAAACTCTGGGAGAGATGGTGTTCTCTGCTCTTGGTTAGAATGACTGCAATCCACCAGCTGGCTTATAGTAGAAACTCTATTTTCTTCTATAATGTCCCAGCCTGCTGGTTCTAGGCTCATATTCACAGTTACAGGACGACCAATGGCCATTTGAAGGGCCTTTGATATGCTTTCTTCAGACATCTGGGCTGCCCTCTTGTCTTCAGGTCTTTTGAACATCAAATGCACAATGGCATTGACTGTTGGACATGGAAAATGTAAGCATAAAAGGACATATTTGGATCGAGATTTTTTTAGAGCAATCGTATCGTAATGAACATCATGATAATGAGTAGGAAAAATTGCATTACCACTGGATATGGTTAGCGATGCAAGCTTCACTTGGTGGTATAAGAATTCTGTCATAGAACTACTTTGCATTCTTTCCAGTATATTCTGCCAAATTTCTTCAATGTCACTGTTGTGCTCCAAAATGGACTCTTTTTCAACTTCCATGCCTCTACATTTTGGGGCTTTATCAATGCTTTTTCTGGTTTTTCCCGGTTCAATTCTGTCTATATCAGCTTGCTCAGAGGTTCTGTAGATAGAACGATGATCTGTACTGCTTCTACTTTGGGATAATATTTGCTGGTGTATATCTTCTGAATTTGCATTTGACATATCACCTGCAAGAGCAAATATAACTAGCATAAAAATGCTGACTTCTATTTGGTTACAAAAAATGTTATCTACCAGA